ATATTGTCAGGAAGTGGAACACGCTGTCGTATACGCTGATCCAGAGCATCCCAAACATGCTCAATGGGTGGTGACTTGTCCGGTGAGTATGCTGGCCATGAAATGAACATTCAATTCACGGGCAACAGCTCTGGTGGACATTCCTGCAGTCAACATGCCAATTGCATGCTCCCTCAAAACCTGCGACATCTGTGGCATTGTACTGTGTGATGAAACTGTACATTTTAGAGTAGTCTTTTACTGTGGCCAGCCTAAGGCACAGCTGTGCAATAATCATGCTGTCTAATCAGCATCTTGATATGCCACAGCTGTGAGGTGGATGGATTATCTCGGCAAAGGACAAGTGCTCACTGACACAGATTTAGATTTGTGAAAATATTTGAGAGAAATTGTTGTAGATCTTTGAGTTCAGCTCGTGAAAAAAGGGGGCAAACACAAAAGTGTTGCGTTTATAATTTTGTTCAGTGTAGTTAAATTATTAGAATGAAAATTTAAAAATGAAATAGAATGTCCCATTTTCACTTGATTTAGCCTTTCAGTGTACATCTTAGTTAATCCACCAGTAACTCGAAGGTAAAACTGAATTGTGTGGTTCTTGAGGCTTTGTGAAAGTGAACCTTAAAAGTAGCTCATGGATTTAAAATTACATTTGCAATGATAAAATTCAAAGTGAACATTTCAAATACACACACGGAACAGAGGTTTGGATTGGGGTTTAAAATTAGCATTCATTTTCTTTTAACTTCTTGTTTATTGTTTAAAAACTCAACACAATAAACACAGTATTTAATGAATATTCATGGCTGTGTTTAACTGTATCGTGTGTAGGTGCTAGACATCGGTGACAGTCTCGCCATTCCGGATGAGTTCACAGAGGAGGAGAAGATGACTGGTCTGTGGTGGAAGCAGCTGACAGCGGGGGCCATGGCAGGGGCTGTGTCCCGTACAGGCACCGCCCCACTGGACAGAATCAAGGTCTTCATGCAGGTGTGTTATGACGTATCGTTTTCATTCATTATTTTCTTTAATCATATTTTGAATAATATCCTGGATAGGTTTGTTGGGTTGCAAGGTCCTTAAATGTGCTCATAAAGGGACAATAACTGTCGGACCAAACAAAAACTGTTTATTCAAAGCAGGGTGCAGTTATTTACAGTACATATGGAAAGTATTCAGACACTTTCAAGTTTTCTACATTTTATGTTCAGACTCAACTTTAAATGGATTCATTGCTTTTTTTCCCCTTATCACTCTACACACACTACTCCACAACCATAAAGTGAAAACAGGTTTTTAGAGTGTTTTGTTAATTTATTAAAAATAAAAGACTAAAATATCCCATTTACATAAGAGATCTGGAACCACCACCAGTCTTCACAGATCTGGCCACCCAGCCAAACTGAGTAATCGGGGACAAAGGGCCTTGGTCAGACAGGTGACCAAGAACCCAAGGGTCATTATGAATGAGATCCAGAGTTTCTTTCTGGAGTGTGGAGAACCTCATCGAAGAACAACCATCACCACAGCACTCCACCAGACAGGCCTCTATGGTACAGTGGCCAGACAGAAGCCATTGCTCACTAAAAGGCACATGACAGCCCGCTAGGAGTTTGTCAAAAGGCACCTGAAGGACTCAGAAACAAAATCTGCTGGTCTGATGAAACAAAGACTCAACTATTTGTCCACAATTACCAACAGCGAATGGAGAAAACCAGGCACTAGCATTACCTCATTAATACCTTCCTTACAGTCAAACACAGTGGTGGCAGCATCAGGCTGTGGGGAGGTGTTTCTGTGGCTGACTAGTCAGGATAGAGGGAAGGATGGATGCAGAAAAATATAGAGCACATCAGAATAAAAACCTTCTCCAGAGTGCTCAGGATCTCAGGCTGGGGTGAAGGTTTACATTTCAACAGGACAACGACCCGAAGTATATCACCAAGAAAACACGAGTGGCTTCAGGAAAACGCTGTGAAAGTCCTGGAGTGGCCCAGCCGGAGTCCGGACCTGAACCTAATAGAACATCTCTGGAAAGACCTGAAAATGGCCGTGCACCAGCGCTCACCAACCAACATGACTTTCAGAAACTCTGTCAAGAACAATGGAAGAAATTTCCAAAAGAAAGGTACCAGGCTTGTAGCTTCATTCTCAAGAAGACTTGAGGCTGTCATTGCTGCCAAAAGCTCTTTAACCAAGTACTAAGTGAAGGGTCTGAATACTTTCTTTACACACTGTATGTGTTGTTGGCTGAAATGGCACCGAAATAGAACAGAATGGCAAGAAACTGCTCTCTAAGTGCTAGACAGTGTGACAAATGTGATAAGTAATTCCCAAATTGAGGTGTTAAATTGTTTTTAATTTACATACTGCTTGTAACGCACCACAACTATGGCTTTACATTTTAGTTGTTGTTATTTACAGGTGCATTCCTCCAAGAGCAATGAAATCAGCCTGGTTGGTGGTTTTAAGCAAATGATAAAAGAAGGAGGTGTGACATCTCTGTGGAGAGGAAATGGTATTAATGTCCTGAAGATCGCCCCCGAGACAGCCATTAAATTCATGGCCTATGAGCAGGTAATTTCGTTTCCATCCCTCAGCTTTGGCTGCAGTCACCCAAATAAGGAGTTTTATAGACTAATTTTGTTTTTATCACCTGAGCAGTCACTGTGTCATCATGCTGAACTCCTGTGTCACTTTGTTTCATCAGTATAAGAAGCTGTTGTCTAGTGAACCAGGGAAGGTCAAGACCCATGAGAGGTTCATGGCTGGGTCACTGGCTGGAGCCACAGCACAAACCACCATCTACCCCATGGAGGTGAGCAGAGGTGGAGACATTTAAAGGTGTAGCTATGGCTTGTTTAATATCTGAGCACTGAGAGTGACACGCCTGTGGAAAATCTGCAGGCATGCACATTTGTGTTTTCATTTTAAGGGCATTTTTACCATTGGTCTCAGAGAAGGTTGAGGATAGAAACAGGTGGTCCTGAAGAACGAACAGCACTGAGCGCCACACGTTATGACAAAAATTATGATCAACAGTTGTTGAATTATCCATCCTAGGTGATGAAAACCCGTCTGACCCTGAGGAAGACCGGACAGTACTCAGGAATGTTTGACTGTGCCAAGAAGATCCTGAAGAACGAGGGAGTGAAGGCGTTTTACAAGGGCTATGTTCCCAATATTCTGGGCATCATTCCCTACGCTGGGATCGATCTGGCAATCTACGAGGTATGTGGGGATTGTTCACTCCCATGTGGAAAATGCTGATGCAAAGCTGTACTTCCATACACAACAGCATCTATCATTAAGAGAGTTGCTGCTTGGTATGTTGTATAGACTTCACTACTACTACTACTAACACTCCTTTGTCACACACACATCCTTATGCTCACCAGAGCTTGAAGAACATCTGGTTGTCCAAGTACGCCAAAGACACAGCCAACCCAGGTATTCTGGTGCTGCTGGGCTGTGGCACCATATCCAGTACGTGTGGGCAACTGGCCAGCTACCCTCTGGCTCTGATCCGCACCAGGATGCAGGCACAAGGTATAGTGAACCAAAAATTGTGGGTTAAATAAAAACTTGAATACAAAATGCTCTTGACATTTTATAATTACTTTTTTTTAAAATAAATTTAAATTCCCTTACCCAGTAATAATTGAGCAGCAAATCATTAAGTAAAAGCTGCAAAACAAGAATAAAGAAATACTCAATTACGGCAAAAAGGCACGCATTCAAAAATATTCAGTAAGAGTATTATCAGCAAAATGTAATTGAAGTAGGACTGGGCAATATAGAGTGAAAACTATAGGTACATAAGCATTAAACATGACAGAAATTAAATCCGTTTTTATTCATCATCTGATTTTGACGCTCTTTTCTCAGCGTCTGTTGAGGGCTCAGAGCAGATGCCCATGAGCCGGATGGTGAAGAAGATTCTGCGTAAGGATGGATTCTTTGGATTTTACCGCGGCATCTTGCCTAATTTCATGAAAGTCATACCGGCTGTCAGCATCAGCTATGTGGTGTATGAATACATGAGGTCTGGTCTAGGTATTCAAAAGTAGGCAGCAGAGTCATCTGTGACTGTGTGTGTCTATGATAGTGTAGAAAGATGTACAGTAATCCTTTTTTTTTTTCCAAAACACTTTCATTCGTAGAGAAACTCATGTTAAAAATGTGTTTACTTGTTGGTCACCAAAGTCTGGACTCAAACTGCTGCAGGTGGCGCCATTGTAGATGTTTTAAATGATTGCAGTCTCCAACAACATTTCCAGCTGCATGGAGTTTGTCCAAGATATTTTTACAATGCACCCAGTGCTTTGAGGCACTGTCAGAATCAGGGCAAAGTTTGGGTCAAATGACTTTACGTTTAATCAGCCAAAGAGGTGGATGTTAACAATTCTGAAAAGAAAGCATTTGGAGGGTTCAGTTCTCCATAATATCGTGTAAAATGTCCATTGTGGGTGCCATTTTGAAGTGCAATACTGTATTTACACTTTGGACATTTACTATTATGTTTGAGATGAGTAGCTACAGCATGGGATTTTGGGAATGGAGTTCACTCAAGAGTTGTTGGTTCCACATCATTATTGCACCTTTTCAGTGGTGAATAGGGGAATAATGTGCCTTAGATTATGATTTTTTTTCTCTATGGATTCCACCCTCACTTTTTTGCCTTTCAAATATTTGGTTAATATATACTGGTGTTTACATTAATAAAACATTTGAATACAAAAAGATGAATACTATATTCCAATATGGTTAAATATATAAGAATATTCTCCGTCTTCAAAGTGGCATATTATTTATGTCCATTGTGATCTTAAAAGCTCCGGGATTTGATTTTTCTAAACTGAATACAAACCTTAGGTGTGGTGCTCGTTGATGATTGGACTGGAGGCTTTAAATGCACCACAGATTAGTCCGGTTTAGATCTTATGTAATACCCTTTTACTCAGTGATGTCAGTACTCCTGACTTGGGCTGTCTAATCCTAGGCATGGAAAAGGATACCACTACGGTGGCTCTGCTAATTTGCTGTACTAAATGAAGGGACTGAAGAAGATAACTGCATTTCAGGCTCTTCACTCCGTGCAGAACAACTCAGAACATCACTAATTAAGGCATCATTTTGGACTCTGGTAACCGAGAATTTGAAAAATCTATAAAAGGCTATAAACAGAAATTATCATCATCATGTTCACACACCCTAATTACAATGGGTACACATGAAATATTGACCATTTTTCTATTTAGGTTTTACATAAGTCAGTTTATGGCAAGATTTATAACACGCAACTCCGAACAAAAGCATCAGCCAGTTACAACCAAAGCAAAATGCGGTGCAACACAGGAATTTATTGTCCAGCTTTTTACAATTTTAATATTTTTATATTATTTAATCTGAGAAAAGTTTCTTTGGTGGGTACATTACACTCATTATGAGCGTTCCGAGAAAAGTTTCTTTGGTGGGTACATTACACTAATTATGAGCGTTCCGATGAGAGAAAAAATTGCCACGGTGGTCATAACGGCACGCAGTGCTTTGAACCAGCTCGGGTAAGTAGGCAGCAGAGAGAGATCATAATGCAGCGAGATTCCAAGTCCCATGATAACCATGATGACTGCAGAAGCGATGCTGTCGCTCATCAGCATGGCCGCCCAGGCTAACAAGCAGGGAACCATACTATTTGCCAGGTTCCGCCAGTCAGGTTTGGCTGGGCTGCTCTCAGGAAGAGCAAATCCCCAGCGAGCTCCACCCAGGAAGGAAACAATGGAGGCACTGTAAGCTAACTGTGCATAGGCCAACTCTGGGATGTATATCTCAGTCAGAGCCATGAACAGAGTAGGGGAAACAAAGGGGATCAGCCCTGCAAACCCCAAGTAAAGAGCAGGTTTTGGACTCTTCCACAAGTCCTTCATGTCATAGCGTAGCAGATCCAGCTCTCTGGGAGGAGGTTCAGGCTTTGGTCGCTTCTTAAGCCTCACAGCGGAAGAGTGGAAACACTGGTTCCTCATTAATGGAGCAACAGGGGTCCTTAGGAGGGGCTCAATCCTCATGCAACCAAGGACAGCAGGGGATTTTAAACATCCAGTGTCTCTATTTGTGGAGGAGGCCCAGCTGGTCTGCAGGGAGCCAGATGTACCATTAGAAGCTCCAGTCAGGGCTGATGTCCAGCATCTTTGTGGAGAACCTGCCCAGTGCAATACCTAAGGAAAAAAAACACACATTAAAATTCTAATCAAAGTTTTGTTATTTGTTAGTGGTTATTTATTCTGACAATGGTGCTTTGTAAATGGGGACATCACAAATAGTCCATTACCTTCTGGGCAGCAAAGGTGCTTCTTCTAAATATAACAGAGAGCATCTGAAAAATGGAACCAAGGTGAGGCAGATTAAAAACACACAATAAAGATTAATGTACTCAATCAATATGGAAAAGAAAAAAAAGTAGAAAAGAGCAATTTGTTGTCTTTTGACACTTTTCTTAATCATCAGTCTATACATTTTCAGAAAGTATAGAAAAATGTCCAGCAGTCAGTTGTCAGCTGAATGTTTTGACTAACAGTTAAAAACCAAAACATATTTACTATCACAGAAGACAAAGCAAACTGGAAAATAAGCATATTTGAGAAGCTGAAACCAGATATCTTTTCTTTTTCTATTTCTTATTTTGTTTTACAATGTATTTTAGCAGTTAAACATGTACACATTTATCTCTCGTTATAGTGCCATGACAGGTAACGTTGGGACTTTAAACTGCTAAGTGGCTAGCGTTTGGCACAACATATACAACAACATTAACAACTGGTGCTACACAGCTGAAGCTTACACAAATATAAGTCACATTCCTGTAATACAAACCATATAATTGCCATTGTTTCAGGTTGAAACTTACCTCCGTTATGTTATTTTTACCCAGGATCAGGAAGCTGGTAAAACGCTTGTACGCGGTTTATTTCTTCCGTGTTCGACAAGTGACATCCCGGTCTCCATAACATCAGTTCTGATCAAGTACACTCTTAAAAGAAGCAAGATTTCTTCATACATCATTATTAGTTTTATAATAAAGGGTTTTTTGCTATAAATGTAAAGGTGTACATAAATAGGTTGAAACTGGTCCTATTTGATTCATTTTTATATCTCCGAAGACGCTCTGTGATCGATTTACATGACTGATAAAAGAGTGCATCGCTCAGTGTCCTTCAAATTAATAGGTGGGCCTAAGTATTAGTTTACTAGGCAATTTATTCTGAGCTTTTACTGAGAGTTTTCGGCAGTGATATAACTATAACTAACCATAGAACTCCAAACCTGAGAAATAATTTTTAAAAACAATGTCATTATTAACAAATCGTTAACATAGGCAGTACCTCTGTAGATGCACGAAGCTACTATGACCTGAAAATACTGAAATTGTTCCTAACAGTGGTAAATGAAAATAATAACAAAAAAAATTGTGAACCCACAAAATAGCATGAAATCAAATGAATCATTCATAGGCTTACAGAAATATATTCTTTAATAGCACAGCCAACGAATTAATAACTCATGAGAAGGCCTACATTTGTATGTGTGCATAAAATAGAAGTGCTAAATCCCAGTGATAGTTACGTCAATGCTCATAATGAGTAGTCTAACAAATAATGTCAGTGTATAACATTTATCTGTGGCACAACATCACGGACTGAGACACCAAGGAGTTTGTTGTGGAAAGACATTATGACACACTTTATATAGCCATGGATACCAGCTGTGCTGAAGTCTTGCAGCAAACAAAACTAAAATGGGGACGTCATGTGACAAAAGAGAAAGACATCTTAATGAGGAGGCAATGTTTATTTCTCTATATATGTTTGTTTGATTATTTAAAAAACTATATTTAAAGGAATCCTTTCTTGTGGTCATATTTGTTTTTCATCTATATCTTGGAAATAAGACCACCTTTATTTACTGATTTAATGCAAGAGAGTAAATGGTAAACTTTTTAAATGAGAGCTCTGTCATTTCACAGGTGCTGTAATCATTGAGCTCACATTGCTACAGTATATAGTAGAAAAAGCCATAAACTATTTCCATCCTCTAAAAACAGAGTAAATACAGGGAAAACAGCTGCCTTCAGACTCTCATAGCTGCAGGAAACGCTCAGACAGCTCCATTCTGAAAGACAAACATTATTATTTCCATGTAGTTCATTCTCAAAATGTAACCCTCACACCACCGTATAAGCAATTAGATAATTCACAGATCCATGTTTATGAGTTATTCTCAGCTGACTTCAAACAACCAAGCTAATATGGTATGTCAAATTTGGCATTAGGTAGGGGACTATATTAGATTTGAATTATTAGAATTTATGTGGATATGTGGTTTAGTGAGATCCTTTTTGCTTTTCTATTCTTTCCTTTAGTAGTCAGGTAAATGCAAAGTATCACTGGCATCAATATTAGTCTTTATTTCTGGTGAAAAGTAGATACTGACCTCTCCACAGCAGCCACAGCAGTCTCCACACAGAGCTCCCAGCAGGCCATTCACCACCTGCACAGCACACAGCACCATCTGGATCAAACCCATGACCAGCAGCACAGAGAACAGACCCAGATGCCAGGACACCACCTTGTCCGGCTCTAAACACAGCGACTGGACAGTATTGTTGGCCAGGTAATCTCTGAAGAGGGAGAGTGATAAAGACACAGCATGTTTTTAACAGTAGTCATTTAGGTTTTGTTAATTGCAGGTAAATTAATGGGTGAGCACAGTGGTTTACAAACACTTGAATGGTTTGTTATCACAAGCTACAGTACCAGTTACTTCTGGATTAAAAGAGTGAACCACAGCAATGGTAGCAGCAACAGATTGATGTGTTTCTTAAGGCAAACTCCTTTGTTGGATGACTTAAACAATAAAATGTATGGTTAATCACTTAACTCTTCTGTATATCTACACATACCGTATGTGACCTCAGCAAAACTGAGGTGACTGTCTGTGCTGCTCCAGAAACAGTGAACCTGTTGCTCTAGATAAGCCACACATCTCACTGTGAGCAGTTTGTTCCTTCATGAAAATGACAATTTACTTCAAATGTGGCCGTAATTTTTAGCAGAACCCCATCATTACTTTGGTGATTACACACATAATATAAAATAAAGTGTTTTACTACTTCATTATTTTGGCATACATATTCTCCCTGTGCCTGTGTGGGTTCTCTTCAGGTGCTCCAGCTTCCTCCCACAGTTCAAAGACATGCAGCTTAGGTTGATTGGTGACTCTAAATTACCCATAGGAGTGAGGTTGAGTGTGTGTGGTTGTTTGTCTCTAAGTGTCAGCCCTGTGATAGACTGGCGATCTGTTCAGGGTGGACCCGGCCTCTCGTCCACTGTCAGCTAGGATTGGCTCCAGCCCTCTGCAACCCTATTAAGGATGAGCGGCATAGATAATGGATGGATTATTTTGGGGTGTCTCACCCATTTGAGAAGGGCTGGCCCCATGTTTCTGTGCCATTCGTGTAAAACAGACACTTGGGTCCACTGTTGATGGCCACGGCCGAAACTATAACCGAGTAACCCGCACCCAAAACGCCCACTGCTGCAAATAGTATAGAGCTCAGCATCTACAAAGAGAGTGAAGAAGATGAAGGAAAGAACAGTTTGTTATATTAGGAATACATTTAACAATCTCACGTTTAATTTCATAAATAATGACAAGAATAAAGTTTGTGTGCTGAGGGGCACAGCCAACAGAGAGGTACTGAGATGGACTGTGTGTGTGTTTCTGTGCAGTAATCTGACTGACTTTTGTTTGCTGATTATCTCCTCACACACATTCCTGAAATATCAATCAGTGTGTCTACAACAGCACAATACCTCCTCTGTGTGGGAAAGTAAAGTGAAACTCCCACCAGAGGAATTTTAGTGACAGTGATCGAAATCTCATTAATTTATGTGCATGTGTGTGCACATTTATTGCTGTGTAAATCATGGTTGGTGTGTGTGTGTGTGTGTGTGTGTGTGTTCACAGTGCTAAATATATTCATTTTCCACAGAGTCAACACATCACAGGCAATGTGCAGTAGATCCACAGCTAGTTGAAATGATGATAGCTTTAATTTTCGTTTGTTAAGACATTCAAAAGGCTTATTATTTTTTACCCAATTTCACCATAAAATCTTTAGTCAGAGCACATGGTCAGAAAAAACGTGCAATGATTAATTTACTTAAGTGCAAAATCTATCTTCTTCTTTACCTGCTGTATATTGTTGAAACAATTTTTGTCTTTCAAGCATCTTTTTTTAACATAAAAGTCTGGCTTTTGTTTTTGTTTTTTCCAGTTTATTTGGTCTCACACTGGGTTGACAGTACCTTTACTGGGATTATTTTTCCCAACTTAGCTGATTTTTTGTGTATTTATTGTTGTATATTCTGTGTGATGTAAAAACCTAACTTGAGGGACCGCACATGGTTTCCTATGCAGTGTATATCTATGCCTGTGCAAATGGCTAGAAAGAATTTTGACCTTAGCTGTCAGGTATATGAAACACTGGACCTGATGGTTTACATGAATATTTTTGCTTCTTCAAAGTGTATTTTATGAATATGTGCAATGTACTGTCTATTGGGCCCCTTGGCATCATGGGACCTGCAGTTTTTTGGTCGCTACCATAGAATTGCCACACAGCCACAGCTGTAAATAATTATGATGATTAGTTGAACAGTGAAATGTCTCCTCACCGCAAATCTCCGCCCACAGCTTTCATTGCCACAGCAACCGCAGCAGTCATTGTTTTTCAGACCAAGAAAGACCAGAGCTGGGAAGATCATCTGTTGACAAAAAACACACCACAGGTTCACACATGCCAGTGACTCAGGTGAGCAGATGATGAATTACTTGTTCCAGGAGTGGACTGAATGCTCCACTGTATGTACTAAAATATGCAGTTTTATAAATAGTTCATGAACCTGCTACACTGGTTTCCACAACTTCTTCAACTTTTTGACCAGAATAATTTGAAAGATGCTATAAACATAAAAAGTCAACATGTACAGTAGTGACTTCACACTGTTTCATGTATACATTAAAAAGCATTTCTAGGATGATCTTGTTTTATTCCGGTATTTCTAATGTGAACTAGCTTTACTGTACAAGCTCTAATGACATCATTAACTCCTTTAGGCGAAGCTGTGCACTTCACATAAAAGACAGATAAAATGATTGATTCATTGATCATTTAAATGATTTCTTTACCAGGCAGAAATGCTAAACATTCCCACATTTTAAATGTGAGGATTTTGTTTTAATGAAAAAATACAGATAAAAGAATTTTAAAACATGTATGGAATATTAATGGGCTTTAAAAATATATATTTTCTGACATTTTATTGAACAACTAACTAATAATCAAGAAACTGACAGATTGTAATTTATAATGAAAATAATCATCAGTAGCAGCCTTCATAATATTAAGTAGTTTATGATATACTTTGTACTGTACATGAGCACACAAATACACATGCAGACAAACATGAAGACAAAAATACTGTATCTATTGTACACTTTGGTGGTAAATTTTCAATTTGAAAAAACAAATCAACAGAATCCAGAAAGGCTATTTTCATTGCTGATAAAGGTCATCCATAGTGGGTTTCACCAGCTGCTACCGTCTTTGCTGTAACACTAATGTACTCACCAATACTCCAGATCCCAGAATGCCTCCAAAGTACCAGACCTGCTCTGTGATGTGTTCACTCTCCACAGACTTTCCACCGGGAAAGAAGAGCAGGATGTTGCACAGCACACATACAATTGACAGAGGCATCAGAGTGATCCCCAGACACCTGGCAAAATTGCCTGAACACATTCTTCCACGGATGCTTCAACTGCCTCTAGTAGTAAAAACTACAAAATACTGTGGGCTTCAGAACTCTACCTACACTGGTATTTCAACTGAATTATCTCAAACTGACAGGACAATGATGTATCAGTTCTAAAATAGAAGTTTGGACTTTGATCTGGCTCAGTTTGTCCACTCCGAGTTGGTCAGATGTTAGAATATGAGATACCACCTGTGCTTTTCTGGCTGAGTGTTAGTCCGATGTATTGCCTCCGACTTCAACTTCCCAACAACTCCTAGTAATATTTCTCACACCTCTTTGGTTTAGTTGTTTCTTTAAAAAGCTCTGTCTAGTTTTCTGTATCTACTGGATGATCCTGTCTGCTGAGCCTGTCCTGTTTCTGATGATATGGATGTTGCTATAGTTGAGGCTTTATAGCCCCCCTCCACCCATCTCTGTGTGCTCTCACTGCTCACACACACTTAAAAAAAACACACATGCACACACTTGTGGTTGCACAAAACAGATACGGAGCCATTAATGTGCACAGAGACACCCCAATGGAGACACGCTGGTTAATGTTCTACCAAGTGTTTGGAGAAAAGGAAGTGGCAGAATGTTGGTCGATCAGCAGCGCCCTGATGGAAAATCAACCCCTACCACAAGTTCAATATTAACACAATAGAGCTCTTCATTAGTAAGGATTGTTTAAAATTTAACTCTCAATGTATATAATGTCTCATAGGACTGTAATAACCTGACAGGTGAGAAACTTGAGTATGATGATTCTGAGCAAAATCCACTCTAAATTGTATTATTCTAAGAAATTATGTTTTTAGATTTATAAGGAAATGAAAATTTCATACATCCAAATACAACAACACACTGTAAAAATGCAATGCTCTTAGGGTCACAATAAAAGATGCCTAGTTTATCACTGTTATAATCCTTATGGGACCCAGTTGCCACCACTCATGATTTTTTCTTTTCATAGAGGGAGTTTGTCAGTGCTTCAAAGCCACAACAAGCATCAAAAGAAACATATGACAAAGTATTGTACACAACAAATAGCTCATCCAATCATGTTCCCTCTCAAATGACTTCTGGTTTAAAGTTAAAACATCAATAAAAATTCAGCCTTAAATTAAAATAAAAAAGATTTCAAATGAAACTGTCACCTAGAAGCAATTTGCTTTTAAATGTTATTCAAATGTAACAACATGAATTATATGTTAAAATGTTTATAAAATGAAACCTTAAAAGACATCTATAATGTAACATCAGCTGAATCTGCTGGTGAAATTCATTTATATGACTGAAAGCTCCAGCTGTTTCCGAGGTAAAAATGAACTTGGAACTCCCGATTATTCAAAGTGTATGCCATTAAAACCGTGAAAATCGTTCTTACATGTTTCTATTGTGTGAGGATTTCCCCATTGTGGGATTAATAATGTCTTATCTTATCTTTGCTTCAGAACTTTGCTTTAGTTATTAAAATGTTAACCATCTTTCATTCCCATCGATTTAATCTAAAATCCACCTTTCTGCTCTGCCGTTGAGTCAGCGCAATCGATAACCGATAAGTCGATGAAAAGTTGTAAGTACAAAATAGTTCAACACTGTCCCCCTCTATAACGTCGTTGTAGCCAAAGGCCACTGGTAATAAAAGCAACATGGATACCGAGTTGACTTTTGGTTCTCGTCGGTCTCCCGTGGTCTGTTTACACGGCTGTGTGGCGTCCAGTCAGCCGCTAGCTTCAGCTATAGGACTGGGTAAGGGTAAACAGTCGAGGTGGAGTTATTAGGTAGCCACCATATGGTAAACACACACTGTACAAATCTTTAATCGATAAAGGAAATTGAAGACTGTTTTTCATCATTTATTTTTTATTATGATCTTTTGTATTATTTATTTTCTATTATTTGAGCAAATTATCTGAGCATTCGTCTCTGGTTGTCCCGCGGGCAAGGTACAAAAAGTGGGTGATCATTCTTTTTCCGTATATGCCCCCAAGCTCTGGAATACCCTGCCTCCTGAGCTTCGATCTATAACTGAGTTAACGGTCTTTAAACCTAAATTAAAAGCACACTTATTCAGACTGGCGTTTGGCACTTAATTTATAGTGGCGCTATACAGGTGCCAGGCTTTCTAATTTTATATTCTGTAATCTTATTCTGTTTGTACTTTGAGACATTTTTATTGTATAGGAGTTTTATAGTTGCTTACAGACCTTGGTTTTAAATTTGTGTAATTTTAACTTGTCTAACTCTTTGTTATTTTATGTGTCTTGACTTGTTCTGCTTTTGTATGTTTTGTTGTGAAGCACTTTGAGCACCCTTGGGTGTTGTAAAGTGCTATATAAACAAATTAAATAATTTAACATTTATATACTTCCTTTTTGTAATAGGCTACCTACAATGTTTTTTGTTTTTGTAAATTTATGGTTCTATATGGCATAGAAACTTATTGAAATTACCTTCATAAAGGTTTCACAGCCGATGAGTTGTCTGATCGTTTCAGCATTACCTAATATTACAAATCACTCATTACTGGAAACCACTTACAATACAGTATGCTGTAATATTTTATACTTATGTAATGCAGTTAAAAGTGCGGTTTTATTTAAAAAGTCTCCACTACATCGCCAGTTAATATACTATGCAAGAGATGTCTGAGATTTGAGATACAAATAGAGGTTAATGGTTATTTAGTTTGTGCAGCTCACAAACTAAACATGGGATGTGAAACATTTGAAGTGGAGGCAGAAATTTCAGGTCAATATCTCAAAAACTGTAAGTAAAGCCAAATCTGTTTGCATATAGCAATACTACTTGCAGCAAGTAAGATGTAAGTAAGAAAGTAAGAAAAAATGATTGTTATATTTTGGGTGATGAAAAGTAGTGGCTCTCTTGAAGGTAAATAAAAGCATTTATATTTATAATACTGACTCCACATTTGGCATAAACATACCCTTCAGGCCATTGTGAGTCAATCACTGATGGATATATGTTTGTGTCCAAGATGTCCTGAAGCTTGGTGGTAATGCAGCAGATGCTGCAGTTGCTGTAGCAGCAGCACTGGCGGTAACAGAGCCGTGTAGCACCGGTGCTGGTGGGGATGCCTTCTGCTTGTTCTACAATGGAAACACTGGAGAGATCAGGGGAATTAATGGCAGGTGGAGACACTTCTCCCTTTGCTGTTGTTATTTTGTTAAAACAGAATGATTATCTGAGCCTCTCTCTCTCTGTGTCCTCAGTGGTCGTTCGCCCAGAGCTCTAACCCTGGACTTCCTAGAGGGCCTTGGTTACACTGCTGAAGCCCCTCCTTTACCTTTTGATGTATTGAATGTTACAGTACCAGGGGCTCCTGCATGCTGGTGTGATACTATACAGCTGTTTGGTAGTCACAAGGTTTGACTTTGTGTGCTTGTGTGTCTTTTTGTATAGAACTGTGTCCAATATAATCATTTACTTGACATAAACAACCTAACTGTAAACACTTTGACACACAACACCAACACACAAACACACTTCGAAGGGACTTGGACTCCTGACTCTGGTGTGTGTTATAAACAGAGGTGTTTAAGGTGAATCAAGGAGGTATAAACATTAAATCATTAAGCCTGGTGTTGGTCAAACATCAGTAATATAGCCATCTATGGTAGGGTTTCCACAGGCTCTTAAAAATATGAAGTGAAATTCATTTTGAGCCAGTGGCCATTTTCTTTCCAAGGGGAGACTGTTGAATATTTAATTTTTTGTCAACAATAGCAAACTATATTCATTCCAAAGCAGAACACACCAGAAAAGTAAATACAGCAACAACACTTTATCCCAAAATATCTCCTGAAGTGTCCTCTCACTTGCACAAATTGCCAACAATTAATTGAATGGATTTTTTTAGTGTCCACATATTTCTTGTCAAAACAATGACTCTCAGTTCCTGCTCAGTGAGGTTTCCTGTGAGGTAATTAGCATGTGCTTCCTCTGCCTTTTTCCCTAGCTGTCCTTGCAGGAGGTGCTGAGCAGGGCGGTGGAACTTGCAGAGGTGGGGTTTCCTGTTGCTGAGGTAACGGCTCACCACTGGGCAAAAGGGGTGGCCGCTCTGAGAGATGCAGGGAAAGAACTAGGTGGAGATCTGCTCATTGACAATGATGCACCCCAACATGGACAAGTATTCAGAAACCCTCCCCTGGCACAGAGCCTGAAGGTAAATCCTTGGACCATAATATGGAGAAATGAGAAGTACTTGGGATTTTTTTTCTAAAATCATGTTATTTAGACAAGAAACAAACAGAACCATGTAGAACCCCAGAGGAAACCTCGCGTTCATTCCATATTCTCCCAGAGGTTGCTTGCTTTTCTAAAGTTGACTTAACCGTCTGCAGTGCCTTTCAGAAGTATTCATACCCCTTGAATTTTACCACATTTTGTCACATTACAACCACAAACTTAAATGTATTTTACTGGGATTTTATGTGATAGACCAACACAAAGTATCGCATAATTGTGAAGTAGAAGGAAAATGATACGTGGTGTTCAAGATTTTTTTACAAATAAAAATCTTGTCAGGAACGGTGCATGAAGCTGCTGATAATAGCAAAGGTGAACTCAATTATAGAGCAAGACGAGGATAAGTGAAAAACTGTCTCTTTAATCAGAGCACGGACAACAAAACTATACTGAACACAAAACACACACTCAGCTCGAAAACACAGTCCAGGGTCAGAGCCAGTAAACTTACACAGACGAGGAATCCACAAACAAGAGGTCAGAGAGGGAAGTACGATAATCCATACACAGAAAGCAGTCCGAAGCAGGAGGGCAAGGAAGAACACAATGGTCAAAAAACAGTGTGGGGTCAAAACAGGAAATACAGGCACAAAGAAAAACGCTGGAAAGTCTGACATAGGTGAGAGAACAATCTGGCAGATTTCCGGTGGGGGGGGAAAGCTGCTTATATTGGGGTGAAAACAGGTGAAAACAATGAGTGCAGATTAAAGTAAAAAGTCAGAAACTAAGGTGAAACAAACAGGAAGTGATGTCAAAATAAAAGCACGAGAACGGAAGCTGATGGGACAGAATCATGATAAATCTGAAAAGTGTGGCGTGCATATGTATTCAGCCCCCTTTACTCTCATATCCCTAAATAAAATCTAGTGCAACCAACTGCCTTCAGAAGTCACCTAATTAGTACATAGATTCCACCTGTGTGTAATTCAATCTCAGTATAAATACAGCTATTCTGTGATGGCCTCAGAGGTTTGTTAGAGAACATTAGGGAACAAACAGCATCATGAAGACTAAGGAACACACCAGACAGATCAGGGATAAAGTTGTGGAGAAGTTTAAAGTAGGACTAGGTTATAAAAACATATCCCAAGCTTTGAACATCTCACGGAGCACTGTTCAATCCATCATCCAAAAATGGAAAGCGTATGGCACAACTGCAAACCTACCAAGACATGGCCGTCCACCTAAACTGACAGCCCAGACAAGGAGAGCATTAATCAGAGAAGCAACTAAGAGGCCCATGGTAACTCTGGAGGAGCTGCAGAGATCCACAGCTCAGGTGGGACAATCTGTCCACAGGACAACTATTAGTCGTGTACTCCACAAATATGGCTTTTATGGAAGAGTGGCAAGAAGAAAGCCATTGTTGAAAGAAAGCAATAAGAAGTCCCGTTTGCACTTTGCCACAAGCCATGTAGGGGACACAGCAAACATGTGGAAGAATGTGCTCTGGTCAGATGAGGCCAAAATTGAACTTTTTGGTCTGCATGCAAAACGCTATGTGTGGCGGAAACCTAACACTGCACATCAACCTGAACACACCATCCCCACCGTGAAACATGGTGGTGGCAGCATCATGCTGTGGGGATGCTTTTCTTCAGCAGGGACAGGGAAGCTGGTCAGAGTTGATGGAAACATGGATGGAGCTAAATACAGGGCAATCTTGGAAGAAAACCTGTTAGAAGCTGCAAAAGATTCGGGACTGGGGCGGAGGTTCACCTTCCAGCAGGACAACGACCCTAAACATCCAGCCAGAGCTACAATGGAATGGTTTAGATCAAAGCATATTCATGTGTTAGAATGGCCCAGTCAAAGTCCAGACCTAAATCCTATTGAGAATCTGTGGCAAGACTTGACAATTGCTGTTCACGGATGCTCTCCATCTAATCTGACTGAACTGGAGCTGCTTTGCAAAGAAGAATGGGCAAAAATTGCAGTCTCAAGATGTGCAAAGCTGGCAGAGACATACCCCAAAAGACTTGCAGCTGTAATTGCAGCGAAAGGTGCTTCCACAAAGTATTGACTCAAGGGGGCTGAATACGCCACACTTTTCAGATTTTTACTTGTAAAAAATCTTGAACACCACGTATCATTTTCCTTCTACTTCACAATTATGCAATACTTTGTGTTGGTCTATCACATAAAATCCCAATAAAATACATTTAAGCTTGTGTTTGTAATGTGACAAAATGTGAAAAAATTCAAGGGGTACAGTATGAATCATTTTGCAAGGCACTGTATATGTGAAGACCTTGGGTAAACTCAGGCACATGCTGGCTGAAAAGCCCTGATGCCTAAAATATTTTAAACTACTAAAAAAAAAAAAGGTTTTCCAAAATGTTTTCCACCACCTTTTGGCACTAGAATCCTACATGAATTCAAACTGACCACAATCACAATCAGCCATCTTTTAAGCCACATGGGGCGAGTGTTTGTTACATAAAATATACATTTTGGGTGGAGTATCCCTTTATGCAGTATGAAACAGGAAAAAAGTTCCCTTGAGAAAATTGAAGCTTGTATATGATTTATCACATCCTAATTGAGAATGCTCACATAACTGCAAACAGAACTATCACCTTCTTGTGTTAGATTTCTGATAATTTCCAAGCAACATCATGCAGCTGGGTTTACAAATGACCTAATAGAATTGAAACTATATTTACCTCAACCTGAATTTTCGAACTTAAAAAGACCGATAGTATAAAACGAATAGAAGACACTTCTGTACAAATGTGCTTTAGAAAATAATTTGAAACATAATTTACGTAGGTGTAGTGTCGTGGTACTATGACTCTATGTTAATTGGCACCCCAGTGCTCTACTTTCCCGTCCCATATGGGCAACTATGACTATATGTGTTGTGCATGGACCATGTTATATTTATAAAAGTGTGTTCATTCTGTAGTTTCCTGTCAGTAAGAACTGTGGCTCAGTGTGTGTTTGTCTGCTTGTATGTCACATTGAGCACTGACTGATGCTTTTCTATATTACTACATCATAACACTCAGTCTTTAGTAATGCAATAATGCAGGAAAATTTCAGGGTACACCCGTGACAACTTCCTGTACACACACAAACGTGCACACACTCGCGTTCCTGAGATGGCAGAAACAATAGCGTGACCTCAGCCTCACTGATGAATGGCTTCCATGACAGAATAATGGTCATTCCTCAGCGATGACGGTGTGCCCTTCCTTGTGGTGAAAAATCATAGTCTTATACACCCTCCTGTACATTTGATAACATTGACTGGGCTGTTAAATATGCACTGTAGTGAACATGTCACCTGCATAACTTTAAAACTCTGGACTCGTGGGGAATGACATCATGCTAACTATAATATTTTAAAAAAATATTTGAGTGCTTTTGCTGTGGATTTAAAACTGGATGGACAGGCAGGATCCAAAGAGGCAAACTATTAATTAGGTTGGTTCACTGAACATTTGATTGACTGATGTATCAACAGGAGCTAGGTGAGCATGGCAAACCAGCTTTCTACCAGGGCAGAGTGGCCCAGGCCATCATTGATGTCATCAATCAAAATGGAGGAGCAATGACCCTGGATGACCTCTGCAGCCATGACAGTGAGATCATTGCCCCCATAAGCACAGAGTACAAGGTAAAGTCAGGCCACATATGCTCACTGTGTATGTATTTTAATCAGAGTCAGCAAGAGGAAATGACTCTGATGTGTGTTCAGGGTGTGCGTCTGTGGGAGCCTCCGCCTAACAGTCAGGGACTGGCTGCTCTGCTGCTGCTCAACATCCTGGAACACTTCTCTCTCAAAGGTAACTGCTGGCACTCTGAAGCACCTCACCACTGAATCTGGGAAAGTAGGTGAACCAGATTTCACTTCAAGAAGTGAGTGTGTTAGTAGGCCTCCCAAAACAGTCCAGATAGTGCTAGTGTTATGTACTGAGGTTGAAAGATTTGTCTTCACCCCAACACAGTGGAAGTTCATGAATCACTGTTTGTGCTGTTTAAAACATTAAAAACTCAACAGCAGTGTGTCTGCAGTGAGTAAAGCAAGCACTGTTTCTGGAACAACAAGTGTACTTGTTCTCTGTTTTGAGCACTACAAATGACATTCCAAACCCTGAGCATATGAAAAGAAAACTCTACCAGGTGTGTAACAATTTTGAACTGAGACCAAAAACTATGATACAATAAAAAAAAATAAATAAGAAAAACCATGATACTAGAAACTGGCGACCTGTCCAGGGTGTACCCCGCCTCTCGCCCACAGCCGGCTGGGATTGGCTTCAGCCCCTCATGACCCCGTTTGGGACTAAGCGGTATAGAAAATGGAGGAATGGATGGATGATACTAGAAGACAGAACTGGAACCCTCATCACTCTGCCTACCCCCCAACAAACCCCAACCTGCTGTCTCCACAGCAGGTGCAGCCTGTTGATGTCCCACATCACTGATCGATTTGTCAGTACAGTTGACCTTTGCATAATGATTCAATTCAAAGCAGCTTTCTTGCTCAAAGACAAACTAGGGAAACCCTAGAATTCTGACTCAAGAGGACACTAAACAAAGTGCATCCCAGTGCCCCCTGTGACATCTGACTCACTCTGTGGATATAGACGACATGACTCAGATGTGAATCATGCGTGTCAGCACTGGCTCCACCTCTGATCAGACTGTCATCTCAAACTGGTCATGGCGAAAGCCAAACACTCCCTGTTGATAAAGACCGTATGGAGCTGCCTGAGCTCTTGGATGTAAAATTAACTCTGCACACAACATACCACACTGTTGATACATCAACCATGGTAAATGAAAGCATTGATTGGTCCACAAATTATCTTACATCAATAAATGTAGAGGGGAAAAAGTTCCCCAAGCTCAGCTTTCTTAGGTTTGAAAGAGGAGAAACCTGAGTTGCATTATTTATTCCATTTCCAGGTATTGGTTGTAATGCTGGGGTTCTAGCAGAACTACAGTTTTAAGTCAATGAACATTTATTTCTGCTATTGTGAACACTATTGTGACTGGGGCCCTTCAAATGACTTCTCCTTCAATGGGACGTGAAGTGATTTAATACACATTTAAGGCCGCAACAAGGGTCATTAACAATCAATATGGGATAAATAGCAGGTCACCAGAATGAGTAGGCAAAGAAAAAAAAAGAGCAACACACATCGACATTTCATCAACAAGAGTGGTCTAGCTATTTGAGAACTGATCTCTGGGAAGACCTCTGATAGACAACACAAGAATTGTAGCAAAACTCCACACAATGATTCTTGTAGTTTGCCACAAGAACAAAGTCAAATATCAGACATTCAGATCAGACGAGGGAATGTCTCTAAAAATCTTTTCACAAACTACATTACATCATGTCCATTAAATGAAGCGAAATCATTATACAGTTTTCATGTCATTGATTTATTATCATCTATACCTGTATGTTGATTTGTTTTTTTCTGTTTATGTATTGTAAGGCACTGTATGTACGTATACATCCTGTACATGTTTGAATGGATGGTGTAATTTGATTTGCACTAATTTATCACAGCACCGAAAATTCTAATGCATGTGTGTGTAGCTTTAGGCTATAACAGCGCCGACTACATCCATGTTTTGGTGGAGGCTGTGCGTCTGGCACAAACTGATGCTTTCTGTTACCTGAGCGATCCACACCATGTGACCCTCCCTCTAGAAACCTTACTGGACAAGAGCTACAGCCACCAGCGAGCACAACGCATCAGCATGGACAGGTATGCGTTTCTGTGTGCCAGTGTGTACCATGTGCTCTGTTGACTTTTGATAGCGCAGTAGACTTTTACTTCCCCCTCATCCTTAACGTCAACCATTAATTAACTCCTCCCTCGTTTACTGCATGTGTCTGTGTGGACATTTCTGCAGTAATGTGTATTTACTGACCAGTACTGTGGACTTTGAACTTCAGGACTTTTATCAGTCACAAGACAAATAGGCAAATAGACTATAAAAATATAGAACATCATAATGATCTACTGATGTGCACAGAAAAACAGACATTTTATGTGGTTCAAAATAATCCTGCTGCTGTGTTAATAATTTTAATTTAACTGCATTACTACATTACTGCATTAGGCAACACACACGTAGCTCACCATTGATGATCGAATTAAACTGACTGTATATCAGAATGCAATGTCTCATTAGCACAAACAGTTGGAAAATTGTTGTCGTATAAACGTGTCTTCACAGTCATGATATTTATAATAAGCCAGGTAATAGAGAAATCAAGCGAAAGCAGAATATTACAGATTGTGTTTACTTACACTGCAATAACCTGGTTACTTATAAAATTTTACATGCAGCTTTTTTAGAATCTATAGTGGGATATGGTTTAATATTGACATGATGCTGCAAGCTGAAGAGTGTTTTTGGACTGACGGGACTGAGTGGACAGGCTCAATTTGACACACAGTTGTATAGATTATAAACAGTAGCAGTTCTACACTGTACTGTATGTTCACTGTATACTGTAAGAGGCTGTGCTTCCTACAGGTGACTTTTGTGGGGCCTTGTTCATGTAATAGGACCTTTATTTTCCTATTGATGAATATTTAACAACTGTTAAACTCTTAAAATATAAGTCAGTCACCACTGAGAAAAAGTCTGTATTAAGTTTTGTGCCTCATTTCTAGACTATCAACAATTCTTTAAAACCAGTTTTGTGTTGCACAAACATCAGTAACACTGTTGCTATGGCAACTCTGCTGTGTACATGTATTGGACTGTGAGAAATCACGCATTAGTTTACGAGTAAAGTCTTCAAGGTTGTTCTTGCAACACCCAATATGGTATTTTAAACAAAGCGAGGAGGATTTTAAGCATTTAGGAGAAAAACGTGACACAGGGCCTCAGGGTTTTTTTTTCACCATTAATAACTGTTGTCTTAAATATTTGTCTTTTGTGTGTCTATATGTAGGGCCATGGAGGGAGTGAAGCCTGGCCTGATGACAGGAAGTGACACGGTCTATTTCTGTGTGATTGACAGCCAGGGGAATGCCTGCTCGTTTGTCAACAGCAACTACATGGGCTTTGGTAGCGGGCTGGTCCCTAAAGGTTGTGGATTCTCACTACAGGTCAGAGGGATCAGAAAGAGTATAAGTTTGTGTGCCATTCACTGTGGTGTATTTCTACCAATTACCATGTATTGCATGTATTATTATTTGTTTAGCTACATTACTCTACATATACATTTCCTTTTTTTCTCCAAGTATAGCTGCCTGGAACCCAAATACACAAAAAGAACACAGATCCCTTTAAAAATATTCAAATCTATAGTGATAATCACTCAAAATATTGTTGTAGAACATTTCAGTGTTTTACTGTAGTTTTATTATTCAAAAAAAAATTAGAAATAAAGCTATAATACAGTGATTATGACAGTAAATCACCAAAAACACTATTCATTCATTCATCTTCTATGCCGATCAGTCCCAAACGGGGTCGTGGGCCCTAAAACACTAGTAATTGTTAATTTTAAAAGCATCTTTCAAGTAAAAAATTGTCATGGTCGATATTGTAGACATAAATCAGATAATGTGTCAAAATCACACATTAGCAACTTCAACTGTTTTTCTCTGCTTGTCTCAACATGATGTGTATATTTAAAAAGGGTCTGTTACTATAAATTAAATAGGCTAATTATATTCACAGGTGAACTGATGGACTCCAGAAGTTCAAAGTTCAGTGTGATGCCGAAGTACAGTACAGACGTTGTTTCCGACATGAGCAGCATAAGTGTGGAAATATTTCATGCCAACTGGAGTGGAAACTGCCTGACATCAATTTTCATATTTTATTATGCATATATTTCCCATGTTTATGTTGCTGTACCTTACAAGAATAGGACTGAATGGTGTTTGTGTTTTGTGAGTGTTTATGGAAATATTTTTGGCAATGATAAACCAAGTCTACGAAGACATATAGTATGTTCACATTACTTTCATAGAGCTTATCCAGTGAAGTAGAATTTCCAGATAGTTTCTCAAGAAAGACATTAAAACAAAAAAGCATTTGACTAAATGAAAAGGCTGAATCATGGTATGTATTACTACAATGTATAATTCTTTTTCCCCCCCACAGAACCGCGGTGCCAATTTTTCTCTGCGTCGTAACCATGTTAACTGTGTTGCTGGGGGGAAGCGGCCGTATCACACCATAATACCTGCACTCCTCACCGACTCTGCACCCGAATCACAAAAACCACAACTCTTGGCTGCACTTGGGGTGATGGGGGCTTTTATGCAACCACAAGGACACGTTCAAGTATGCAGTAATCAAGAACAGACTGATGTGGAGTATGATAAAGGATCAGATAAAATGCCCCAAACATTGTTCATTTCTTAGTCTATTGTACCCCTCCATGTTAGATTTGTTCAATGTAAATAGAACTGATCTTTTTACTGGTTATTTTATTATAAAACTAAATCAGGAATGGGAGAAATGCTTCATACTAATTACTGTATCATTTATTTTTTCACATTAGTAGTACTTGCATTGATTTTCTGTCAGAATAGTTGCAAATTAACTTGAATGTGACCCAATAGTTCTGGTTCAGCCTCATATGTGAGTCAATAACTGATGTTGCTCTTGTGTTTAGGTCTTGTTGAACATGTTGGAGTTTGGGATGAATCCTCAACAAGCTCTGGATGCACCAAGAGTCTACGTACACTATGACCAAAGAAGTATGTACAGTATCATCCCAACACACACCCACAGCTGCCTATAGCAGAACATCAGGTTCTGATAAATGACGGTGTTATAAATGTGTAAATGTGTGTTTAGTCAAAGTACTGGTATACTTCCTGTTACATAAGTCATGCAGACATTCATTTCAATATAATACACTGTACAGTATATATGATATGAAATATGAAACAGTTTAGCTTTGTATCAGTGCTATTATGAATATATTAAACAGCCACAACATTTCAGAATAATCAGAATGTTTTAATCTCAATAAATGAAATTTGCTTTCTATGTAAAAGAGTGCTTTAAAACATGATAAAACGCCATTAACTCTCCCCTGATATAAAAAGTTATACAATACGATATTATGTCACAGCCAAGCAAACATATGATATAATCTGAACACCGCCCTAACAAATAAAGATGTATGCAGCTACACAGCTAAGCCTTTTATGGCCATAATACACACGTTTTGGCTTTCACTAATGGTCTTTTTAAATGTACTGTTAACAAGTTAAAATCAAAGTCATATTCTGATTGGTTTGTGTGTCTGTGTAGGTGATGAGTGGTTGGTTAATCTGGAAGAGGGGGTCGGTCAGGAGGTAGCTGACGAGCTACGACAACGGGGCCACAAAGTCAACGGGCCAGTCACAGGTGCTTAATTTACACAATTACTGTTTTAATGGCGGCGGCACAGCGGCACGGTGGATAACACCGTCGCCTCACAGCAAGATGATTGCGGGTTATATTCAAATTAACACAATTGTGGCTGTGCTCATTTACATCATCAGTGTTGGCAAATATGCTGCTAAATTGAAAAATTGCAGCGCCACAATATTTTGCACATCTGACGGTGATTTGCAAAAGGTTTAGTACATATCACCCACAGTATTTTATAATAGGCAGGTGTTACATGTAGCCTACTCAAAAGTTAATGTGTTACATTAATTGTTTTATAGTAATGGCTTTGAACTAGTGAGACATTGGCCAAAACAAATCGGTGGAATTAGACTGCAGTTCCCATAAACCCTGGTGCTTCCTACTGCAAGCAGGATGCTTCTATTTGTTCCTCTTCAATACCATTTGGCTTTTATGAAGTGCATGAGCATGTTGTGTGAGTGAACCTGCAATCAGCTGTTGGGTATTTTTGTAAAAATGTACCTCTTTGCAACCTGTCAGTCCAGCACAGTGTGTGGTTGTTTGTTTTTTCCAGAGAGCAATTTCTCTTTGCGTAACAAACCAGATAACTACTCAAGCCACACAATGCCATATGCAAAAGAGGTTTAGCCAGTGTTCTTGGCCACTTCTTTAATTTTATGTCAAAATTAACTTTAATGGTGTATCAATGTTGTAGGGCTACATGCAGCACATTTAAATGGAAATTATTTTAGATTGCTCAATTTCTGCTATTCTTGCTGAACATTTTATTAATAATATTTATAGGTCTCAACTATGGGAAGATGAAAATTAAAATGAATTTGTTCTTATTTTCTTCAATACATTTGCTATACAGGATTTTATAGTAAACTGCACCAGTGAAGTTTTGTGAAGCTGGATTTATATAAATGCTAAGTCTGCATGGGATGTAATTTTTAACACTAATTGTTTTATGTTTTGATAATCATAAAAAAAAAAACTAATTTAAGGAACCAGATGCTGAACTGTGTGAATCATATAAAAGTAAAACTTGACATCTGTGTTGGAGTACTGAGGGCATCATCTCATGATCTTAGCATGTTAGTGAGATTACTGTGCACACTGCCACATAAGAGATGGCACAGTTTAAAGGGCACACTGAATTTCTCATATCAGCTTTAATTCAAACACACAGGCCACCAGAGGTCTCAGTTTGGGCGGGGACAGATCATCACTGTAGGGGATTGGTGGGACCCATCTGCAAGTCAAGTTGAACATTCAACCAGGGTGCTGTGGGCGGGATCAGACCCCAGAGCTGATGGGTGTGCTCAGGGATACTAGACACCCTCCCTTCATCTCTGTCGATCACAAAGCTTTCTGATGGTAGATTCCTACATGTGAAATGTGGTGCAGAAAAAATGTCAGTATTAACTGCAGCTTGTGTTCCTTTTTGATTTCACACTACATATGTAAGCTAGTGTGCTATTTAGTTTGTCATATCTAGAACAAATAAGAAAACAAATCTTTGTGCAAGATTTCAAAGCAAACTTACCATTATGCAACTTTATCTTTTGATTGACATAACTATCTGTTTCAGTCTGTTTATTTGCTTGCTGCTGATCTGTTGCTTTTAGAAGTGGTGAAATATCTTTTTATACAGTCATGGCCAAAAATTCCTTGGATTTCTGTCAGATAACGCACCACTTCTCCCAGATAAATCTTCCAATCAGAAATTCCTTGGTGTTCTCATGTTTATTTCTTTTGCTTGCATTGGAACAACACAAAAAAGCCAAATCTGATCCATTCCACACAGAACTCTATAAATGGACTGGACAGAATTATTGACACCTTTTCATAATAATCAGAAATAGTTGTATTTCAACCACGTGATGATCCTTTAATTTGTAATGAAACTCACCTGAATCAGTCAACAGGTGCTGGCAATATAGAAATCAACCAGTTAAAGCTGACTTAACCCTTGTGTCACATGTACCACAGTGAGCAAGAAAGGAGATCAAAGAATTGTCTGAGGATTTGACAACCACAATAGTGGAAAAGCATGGACAGTCTCCAAAGTCTCCAGCGATCTTGCTGTTCCTGTGTCCACTGTGCACAACATCACCAAGAAGTTTACAGCCCATGGCGCTGTAGCTAATCTCCCTGGACGTGGACGAAAGAGAAAAATAGATAGATTGCAACAAAGGATTGTTTGAATGGTGGAAATCTGAAGACTACCAGTTCATTCTAGGGTGCAATGTAGGGCCCAGGCTCAGAAATCTTTCAAAGGTATTCATGTCCACAAATGTCAGGGCGACAGGTTTGTAGTCATTCAGTCCCCTGATGGATGGTTTCTTGGAAACTGAGATGATGGTGGACCGTTTGAAGCAGGAGGAGACTTCACACAGCTCAAATGATTAGCTGAGTATCTGTCTGAGGCCCGTGACACATAAAGCCAAAAGTCAGCTGTCGGTGAGTGTCTGTTGCCCTTGTTTTTGGGGTGTCCGCCACTCCACTAGCAATAGTCATACCCTGTTGGCAGCTTTTTGGCCAATTTTGCATGTTGAATCAGTGGTCGGCCTTGTCATCGAGAGAGACAATTCTGATCAGCGGTTAAGTTTCTTCCACAACCAAAAGACCGAGGGCAGGAAACAACAGTGTCTTTTGCAACTTCTTAGACATATTCTCGATCAGAAGCAGTTACAAACAGCAGCTGTGTTGAATGAGAGCTGCTTTGTTTACAGTCTGTATTTCTGCTGTCTAGCTGTTCTTTCCCTTTCTGAATGGCAAAGACAGATAACACCACCTGCTGGTAGCGGCTTTTCTCATGCAGGCTCAGAACATGCGTGCTAGTTGGCTATAGTCTGTGTGGTGTGTTCAAATGCCACTTTTTTTGATCCAAATGGCCCAGACAAAGGATATGTAACATGACAACAGTTGGCCTACATGACTGCGAGCTCTTTCATGTTGGCTTGGTGTGTCCCTGCCCTTAAAATAGGAGTTAGGTGGACAGCACAGACCTTCAGACAGGAGGGAGTCACACTGTCTGAGCCTAGTGCCTTCTAGACCTTTTGTTTCTCAAAGAGACCACGTACATCCTTTTCATGGGGGGATGGGCAGCTTCTGGTGGTGTTTCTGAAATGGGTGAGTGGTGTGAAGTGCTGCTTCTCAAACCTGTAGTAAAACACATTAAGGTCATCTGCCAGGTGATGGGTCTCCACAGCATGGCGGGATGGTTTCCTGTAGCCAGTGATGTTCTGCAGGCCTCTCCACAGTGAAGCAGGGGCATCATCTGAAAACTAGTTTTTCAATTTTTCAGTGTAGCTCCTTTTAGCTACCCTGATCTCTCTAGTCAGTGTGATTCTGGCCTGGTTGTACAAAATCATTTCCCCAGTTTTGTGGTCCTCCTTGGCATGATGCTGCTGCTTGGGTTTTACTATGAACCAGGGCTTGTTGTTGAATGTGCAGAAGGTCTTGGTTGGCACACACATGATGTCAGTGTCCGCAAGATGCAATCTCAAGGATGCTTCAATCTGTATAGTCAAAGCAAGTCTACAGTTCTTACTTTGCCTCCTCAGCCCATCTCTTTGTTGTTTTTAACCACAGGCTTTGCCTGCCTGTAGGTTGGAATGAGATGCACCATGTAGTGATCAGAGAGTCTCAAGGCTGTGCAGGGGACAGAGCGATAGGCATCCTTTATTACTGTGTAGCAGTGGCCCAGTGTGTTTTTGTCCCTGTGGGACAACTGGTGTGTTGTCTGTATTTGTCCAGTTTATGGATGAGGTTTGCTCTGTTCAAGTCACAACAAATAAATGTCAGCTGTGCACAAAGGATATTTCAGATTTATTTCTTTCACCCCTTATCTGATCATCTTCCCAGGACTGAGAATATTACGAGGTTGAATTGGGTCCAGATTAGTTTTAGAGATAATTGATCAGTTGAACTACCAAGCTTTTTGGGTGCAACCTTGCAAAATTGGACCCTGTAGGACTCTTGAGGCATGATATTAATGGCATCTATTTTATAGCAGGTTTCCATGCAACCTGGGGGAAGTGAGTATTTTGTTTGTGAGTCACCGTTTTCCTGTTGTGAATTTTTAGCAGTTTGGGAACACCCTGCTGCTCCTTAACACGGATAGGATAAATACAGATGGACAGACAGGATAAATTAGACTACAGTATATGCAGTGATTTGAGTTGTGTGAAAAAAATATGAGTGAATTGGTAAACAGCTTGTAAATCACTTGTACCCTGGAGCAGGAGCCTCAGACATGTTTTTACTTTTTGGCACAAATCTCGAAGTAGAAACATGGTGTTGGACTTTGTTTCAACGATGATCCCATTATAGCTCCAAACCCACCCTGGTACAACCTTCTACTCCTATAAAGAGCCATGTGGTCTGTTGCCCAGACACACTCTGCTTTACATAATCTGCCTTAATCAACAGATCATTAGTGGTCAGTTCCATCTTAAAGCACACTTTATATGGATGTGCTGCATACCAGCTGGATTATAAAGCAGCAAACAACATTCTGGGAAACCCAAATATGACATCACTTTTAGGAGTCATGCTGTGCCTTATCCTAGACCTGCTGACCTATTGTATCATTCTGAGCTAGAGAACTTAGAGCACCCATGACACATTTTTAGGGGATTCTGGAAACGTCTATTTTGATTTACTGGACCTTATAAAACAGTTTTTTTGTTTTTTTTTTAATGAAAAACATACAAGCCTACTTTTACCATTGTTACAGTGTTTTCAATTGTATAATGCATGAAACAATTGTGTAGGGAGTTAAATGAATTATTTTGGGCAAGTATCCCTTCATACCCCACTAGGTACTGTACACTACAAAATGCTTCATCAGCAAGTAACTGAGAAGTTGACAATTTGGAGCTTTAGGTTTTATTTTTCACCATAAAGTTTTAATCAATTAGTAAGTCAAAGTTTGTAGCTATATACGTATATACGTATACTGTATATAGCTGCATCTATACAGATTAGACAAGATTAGACAGATTTATACAAGTTAAAAAATTACAAAAAATTACATTACATTTTTGTTATCATTTTTGTTGTAAATTAGCCAAGCAATTAACCATTTAATTCATTCAGCCCTTGTTTCAGTTTTAGGCTTTTGGTTAAACAAAAGCATTTTGTTTCCTTGGGAACTTAAGAACTTTTCTGTGACAATTTACAGACTAAATGTTGCTAAATCCATAATGTACATATGTTTAGTTGCAGCCCTATTACTGACATTGAGCTGAATATACATAAAATACTATCCACTAGTTATGCATTTAAACATGTCAACCTATTGTTGTGGCTTTAATTCTGAGGGAAATCAACTCGGTGCTGCATGAGGCCCTGGCGGCTAAGAGCCTTGGGAAACACATTCATGCACACACACACTTTTGTGGGATTTTCCATATTTCTGGCTGAGCGTTGTGCAGGCGGTCAGCCCCCTTCCTGTGAGTGTGTTTCCAGGCACACGTTGTGTCATGCAGAACTCCCTCATTAAGAATTTGTTCAACACTTAGACACAGACACACACACACTCATACACATCCAGCAGGCTCTCGTTGTCACTTGTTCGTATTTCCTGGCTCCACAGCTGCTCTGGCTCTTTCCTGCCTTCTGTCTTTTTCTGCTCTCCTCGGTCCATTCCAGTTCTCGCCTTTCCTCCCTGTGGTTGTGTGTGTGTTTGGGTGAGCAATGTGTTGTTCGGTGGGTTTCGCCAGGTCTCTGGGTCTGGCCCTGCTGCCTCTGGCCCTCTGCTGTATCCTGGCCAACCTGCTGCTGCTGTTTCCTATGGGAGAAACCACCTACATCCAAAACAACCAGTTGGCCAGCTACATCTTGTATTTTGGTGGACTAGGAGGTGGAGGACTGCTGGTGAGCAAAAAATAGCATGTGTACAAATGATCCTTTACTTTAGTTAGACGGTGAAACCCTTTATTTAGATATAATCATGTTATATTTATAGATTTCTTTTTGTAAGTTTCATTGTAATACCTGTTTTTTCATCTTCAGATTATCCTGGTATGTTTTCACTTAGTGACAGTTTGAAATTTCTGTCATTTCCCTATATTAAGCTGCTGTAAATGACAATTCTTGTAGTTTTTTCAAAATAAAAGTGAGTGATTAAGTTCCATGAACTAATGAACCATATTTAATATGAAATATTTTGATTTTGTATTAATATCAGACTGGAGCTACAGTAAATAGGAGCCTCTTATTTTGAAGCTGATTAGTTTTTAAACATGGGACATTAGAAATTAAGTCCTCTACTAAGAGCCTGTTTCAAATAATGGCTTGGATTTTACTCCAGCTGAGGTAAATGAAGGCCATGTTGGTAGGTGTTTGGGTTTGTTATTTGAAGAAAGTGGTTGATGTGGTCGAACAGCATTAGGAGCTAGTGGGACTTAATTCTGGAGATTTTCATACATGAGTTTATCTTTGTTTATATTAAATTCTTGTTTGTTTGAGATCATTTTTGCCTTATTTTTTCATCTTTGAGTTTTCCTTTCTTTATGGAACTAACAGGAAACTAAAGAATCAAAGAACAAACCAAACCCCTCTGGGAGAAATCTATCTTTAGCTCCCTCTATTCTTCTCCCTCACTCTTCCTCCCTCCCTTTTCCCTTCTCACTGTGAACTTTCCTCTTTCCACTTTGTAAGCGTCTTTCTTTCTGCCTCTGCTAGAAGATAGTGCTTAAGGGGGCATCCAGGATGTGTATGTAATGATGGCTGTGATCTTTATGTGTGTGTGTGTAAAACCTTGGGAACTTCCTTTCCTCTGTTTGCATGTGATTTCAAGTTCCTGATTGCTGGGAGAAAGACAACAGCAAAGGAAAGAGGAGGAGATGAAAAAGGGGGTCAGCGAATAAAAAAAGTAGAACTGAATCTAACAGATAGATGGTTATCATTTCTCTCTGCCCTGTACAACTACACAAGTACACAGTGTCTCAGCTGCTGCTAGAGTACAGACTGTGTGCTCTTTATGTAGCCAGTGTTTGACTTCCCATCACTGCTTGTATTCAATCATAAATACTATACAGCTCTAGCCAAGTATAAATTGACTCAGTATGTCACACTAGTGACAGTTTTTATATCAACAAAGCTGACAATATAACATTATGTACATTAAATATTGGTTTAATTAAGTAGACTGAACAACAGTCTTCAGCTGATGTGCAGCATTTAGAATTGTTTCAGGCACTTCTTTGTTAATGTGTGTCAAGTCTTATATCGGAGCTTTTAGAAACACTACTTTCCCAATCATATTTATGACTGTTGTTGACATGTACACTTTAAAAATAGTAATTACAGTAACTCTGACATGAATGAAGTATTACTGCTCACTACTGACTGTTGTTTAGGGAGTAGTTATTGAGTGGAATTTGAAGGATGTTGGCATACTAACAAGCAACATGTGACATGCTGTATTAGCATATGTTTATATTTTTCTAGACACAACTGAGCTTAAGTAGAGCAAAGGCAAGGTGTTTTTCAGTTTGAATCTAGCCAATATTTGTTTTTAGTGTGTAATGACAGTATGGCCTCAGCTATTGTCAGTATACGTAGATGTCTACTTCCTAGATGATGCTGTTGAGAGCTGGGGCAAAATGGCAATGATATGGGTGGTGGTATTACTGTGGCAGCACTTCTTAGAAATGCTTCTAGTAACTACTGGTAAAGAGAAGTGGGGTCAAGGTTTAGCAATCTTTGCTTGTAACAAAATATGACAAGACAGCAAGCCTCCTTTTTATGGACACAAAGAAAAGAATAAATGCTATTGTAATGATATTGTTGGACTTTTCTGTGCTCCCAGATGTTGGTTCCAGCTGTGGTCTTCATCACTCTGGGGAAATGCAACTGCTGCTGGAATGACAGCTTAATGGTATGAGACTAAGCAAAGTATACAGAATACTTGGAATCTACTATAGCTACACTATGCTAAGCTAAATTTGTACCAAAAACAGTTTTTAAGCCACTAATATGGTAGAGATATCCCAACTTGTGTTTATACTGGATTAGTACTTTGCTATCTGACACAACAATTGCTTATATTTAAGAAAATCCTCATTTCCCAAGCATTTGCTCTATAGCTGAGATATTTTATGGTATGGTCATACATTTTTGATGTACTATTTTGCTGCATTTTACTCAGTACTTGGAGAATAATATTATACAGCTGTAATTAAGGCTGCAAACACTGTGTCCCTATTAGGTGGCATACAAATGCTAATCCAGCTACTTCCACAAGGGTCTCATTGTTAGATAACGCTTGACAAAGTAAGCTTGGCTCATGCCATGCAAGCCACATGCACAGCTGCGTGTGTGCATGCATGTGTTGTGAGTGTATGTGTGTCTGCAGCAGCTGTCTCCATTTTGCATCTGTGAAATGGAGAAATCAAACAGCGTACAAACAAACGGACACAGCGGCTTCTAAACATACATGTTCTTCTCTACACCCACTATGTGTGTTTGTGTTCCTTGCCAGATGTGCGGGTCTGTACTGGCAGCCATAATCGGCCTGGTGGGGTCTGGCTACTGTTTTCTCATATCAGGGTTAGCCTTGTTTCAAGGCCCCCAGTGCTTCAACAATAGATGGTCATACCCCTTTGAAGGCCAGGGGGGCAGGTGAGGAGACATTCCATCATGGTGTGTGGGGTGCCAGAATTCCTAGTAGCTTGTAATAATGTACAATTATAGAGAGCCAAAGTCATGTCATCACATCCGGTTAGCTTGTTCCACTAGCATGAGTGACTATGCTATGCATTTTTAGCATTTTTTTCATTGTAAGACAAGCCACCAGCCACTACAACACTCACTAACGAAAGCAGAAACCTTTATGGTTTTAAAAAATTTTTAGCATCAAAAAAACCTATACTCTCTCATTTTCATATATTGGTACTTTGCTGTGTATTACTGTCCACTAATATGTATTTCAGAAGCATCTAGCTCTATTCCTTAGCACTCTGTAGCACACAAGTTCAGCAAAGAACTGAAACTTCTTGTCTGTTCAACCTTCCTCTAACTATGATTCACTCTCCTCACTGATGTGTTTCAGGTATTTGTTGCAGCCAGAGACATGGTCACAGTGTCTTCAGCCGGTTCATATCATAGAGTGGAATGTGACTCTGCTGTGTATTCTGCTGGGCTCAGCTGTACTGGAGTTTATCATCTGTCTCTTACAGCTGGGGAACGGTTTAATCAATGCTGTCTGCCGACCATGCTGCTACAAGCAGGAGTACAGTCTTAATGCTTAGTCAGACACACACCTGTATGTAGACTCACCTGCACAGACAGACTGTATATCCAGGTGCACACATAAAAATTCACACAAGTAACAGTGCTATGGGTATGTGTATGAGAACTGTGCATACACTTAACACTTGCACTATCATGAACATTGACAGCCATGTCAACTACATTCATTTACAGTCTTTATATATGCTAGGGTGGTAAAGGTGGTGAAAGGAGGCTCAGCAGACCAAGATGTACACTTAAAAAGAAAGCACTAGAGCATCCTTAAGTGTAAAAATACTATTAAATGTAAGGCAGAGTAGATTGCTCTGAAGTAATGCAGTTGTCACACAACAGTGTGCTAAACATCTTCACAAAGACACCATATTGTACTATTATATATGTTTTACTGTATTTTTTAAAATGTAGAAGAAGAAAAAAGTGTTTATGCCCTACTGACAAGCTCAGTAAACCTGTGAAATCCAAGATTCTTAATATCAAGGTCACTCACTTTATCATTATTTTATGCTGTCTACTCTTTATACTTCCATAAACCCTATAAACAACTACATTACCAGTGTTTTCAAATGAAAATAAGATTTTTGCAGCAACATACTGGGAGTGGAAAGAGATTCTGAGGACATTTCACTGCCATTGTTGATGGTGTTCTTATGGGCTGAAGAACATTATAAAAACATTTTTTTTTAAAGGTGCCATCTTGTCTGACAGTATTATCAAGAAGCACACCAACACGTCCTTTATGTTCAGTATTACTTTTGTGGCTCCAGAACTTGTACATTGTGTTGGATCACATATGAATCACATGCAAAATGTTGTTTTTTTTTGTACATTTGTTTTAATTTTCAGAGTATTTTGCATTTTATGTTTTTTAGATGTTAGTTTAGTGTTGAGACATTTTATATATATATTTTAGTGACATTTTTATAATGTACATTTTTTGTGCTACCTTGAATAAAAAAACAATTCCATTTTACATATTCAGTGCTTGATTACTTTAGAGTTGATCTTACAGAAAGAAGAATTAAAAAAAAAAGACAGTCATTATAGTTGCACCCAAAATGCTTGGTAGTTCAAAAGACAGATATGCATGTATGATTGTATGTGTGTATTCATGTTTCCACCTGCTGCTCCTCCAAACTATTACTCTAAATTAATTATTTATCTGCAGTCATTACTTTTGGACCCACTCACTCTTAAAGAGGACAAAAATCACTGACACAAATTCAATATTGGCCTATGTGTAATGGGTCAAAATGTCAGCTTGTGTATGTGTGTGTGCAGCCTGCTTGGTGTGTTTAAATGAATTCCTGGACAAGAGTTTGGTGCTGGAGTTTCCAGAGTTGCCTGTTAGGACCATATCATATCAGGACACAACTGAATGTGGCCTCTGACCCCGGGAGCCGAGCGCAGTATGAGCCATTTTTCAGAAAATGTCAAAATCTTACAAGTGGATACAATTTCTCTTTTATCCATAGTTTACTGTGAATAAAACTGATCTACAAATGTTAACATATTGATAAACCAGTCTTGACAGTAAAATAAATTTTCATGAACTGACATATGAGGTAGGTGGAAGAAATTTATAAATTAAAGAAATTTTGACACCTCAATGCATTTTTCAGCTAACCAGCTGCACTGATAGACTATCTGCTAAAAAGAACTATGCATTAATGGTTTGCACAAATCATTAAGGCAGCTTGAATCAGATTTCTTTGCTTTTTTTTTATATTGCAACAGAAAAATGCATGTTAACACAACAGGGCAGGAGATGGAAGATAGGACAATAGGTACAGGACATTACAAAAGAAACAGAGGGTTTTACATTTAGTTTGTGCATGTAAGTGTGTGAAGTGTGGGTGCCTTCAATTTATGCAGTCTACAAAGCAAAACTCTGCTCTTGTGCAATTCTAACCTGCTGATCAAACAGCCTCTGATAGGTTGGATCAAACCTTGACTGATGGTCAGTGACCCCTCTGCCCTGTCTCGGCAATTCCTAATTTTCAGTCAGCTGAGTGAGTATAAAGAGACAAAGGGTGTCAAGTCTCAGAGACAGACAAACGACTCAACAGACTACAACATCCATCTTTGTCATTGTTAGCTACAGGAATACTGGACAGAATTAAAGACTCATCTTCTTGCCAGTTTTTGCTTTAGACCTACTTGTCACTGGTGAAGTGGCAATACTTCATCATCAGAATGCATTGGTTGGGGTTGAGGAGTGTGCTGCTGCTGTGCTGCATAGTGCTGTGTGTGTCTGGGATGAGGAGAGAGTACTTCCTCAAGATAGAGGAGGTGTCTTGGAACTATGCCCCAACTGGGATGAACATCATTCAAAACCGTACACTGCAGGAGGATGAGTAAGTACAATTAAATTGTCTTGATTCTGTTGTAATCCCTGACTTCTGTCCGAGCTGGCACTTGTCCAAAAAGCAGCATCAAGTCTTTAAGATTTATTTTTAAGGTGGTGCATGGATTGCTGAATCCCTGCTCCACCTTTCTTTGGAAATAAAGTTGTATTACACCTACAGACCCTGTCAGACCTCCAGGCAATCAAATATACATTATACAGAGTAACATTTTCTGCTCTTCTGCCAATCTAAGCTGTTGATCAAACCAGATGTGAGGGCTCTGACAGGTTCAAACGTTGTCTGATGATCATTATGAAAATAGTCATACTTTTAGTTGTGACAGCTTATCAGAGAAAAATTCACTACTACCATATTTAGAGATGCATAGTTTTGTCTGGACAACATTCTATTTGATGCGCTTTATGTGCACAAGCCGGTCAATGTTTTACATTTTTCTGTTTATTCAATTACTCACATTTAAACTTGCAAATGCACTTACAGTACAGCATTGACCTTAACCCTAACCCTGAAGCCCACACATTAGACCAGCAAAAGACAGTAAAATATAAAGTCTCTGATGCATTAAATAAATAAATAAACAAACAAATCATAGTTATTATTAATAATAGTTGCAAACTGCATAAGATTTACTAGCTTTACCTAAATATTTTTACATTAAGTTACAATTTCAACTACATATTTTTAAAATTTTTATATAATATATTTGTGTTTTTTTATAACACTGTAGTTAGTGAGCGATTTTAAACATTTTTAACTGTACTAGGAAGACAAACACACTCTATCCTCTCTGCCTGGACCTCTCTATAGAGAAGCCTCAGTCTTTTTAAAGAAGGGCCCCCAGCGCATTGGCTCCACCTACAAGAAGGCTGTCTATAAGCAATACAGCGACGCCACCTACAGGACAGAGGTGACAAAACCAGACTGGCTGGGTTACCTGGGACCTCTGCTGGTGGCTGAGGAGAGTGACACTGTGATCGTTCACCTGAAGAACACAGCATCCAGACCTTACACTATCCACCCACATGGGCTAAACTACAGCAAGAGCAGTGAGGGTGAGGACTGAAATTATGCATGTGTTGGTGCATTAAGTGACAGGAAAGGCTGATAGATCTGTGACTGTGTGTGCTTTTCTCAGGAGCTCTATACCCAGATGGCACAGCCCCAGAGCTGAAGCATGATGATGCGGTGGCTCCTGGTACAACAGTGACATATGAGTGGACCCTACCAGGGAGCCACGCCCCACACAACGGCAATTGCTTGGCTCTGTTCTACCATTCCCACTTCTTAACCCTAAAAGACATCAACTCAGGACTGATAGGACCCCTCATTACCTGTAAGAAAGGTACAGAAACCTTTTTAACAGTATATAGTATCCAACTATATACTTAACTATATAGTAGGCTTCCAACCACAAAAAAAGCTGAGCCTGAAAAGAATCAACAGCCAAGATAAACTGAAACAAACAGGATGCAGGGGAATAAGTCCAAAAGTCCTAGAGTTTTTGAATCCACTAGTCAGGGTGATAAGGGTAGACTTTGCACAACAAAGAAATAAAGGTGAACTGGCAATAAGTGTGAGCACAGGGCTTGCTTACGTACTGGCTGCGTGATTACACTGATGTAATGTATATAAAAATAGGGAGAAATTAATTATGAAAATTAGTTTCCAGTCCCTTTTATTAGGTTTACCCTTTACTACATCTCTGCATCTCATTTGCATACTGCAAGTATTCAGACCCTTTGTTTGTGAGACTGGCAATTGAGCTCTGGTGTATCCTACTCCTATCAACAGTCAGTGAGATGCATTTACAGATTTATTAGAGTCCATCTGTCCACTTTAATGCATACAGTCAATGCGTTGACTGTATATCCCAAAGCTAAAGGACAGTTCACTTTATATGCTTTTATTATGTTTGTGAAGCACTTTGGTACAAGTGGATGATTTTAAGTCTGTTATATAAATAAAACCTGATTGATTTTAGGATATCTTTGTTCCTTTCTTTTATAGGAACTCTGGACATACATGGCGACGGGTCACGAGACTACCTGTATACTCTGCTGTTCATGGTGTCAGATGAGAACCTCAGCTGGTACTTGGATGACAACATCAAGATGCACATCACGAATCCCGCCCGAGACCTGAAAGAGAATGAAGATTTCATTGAGAGCAACAAGATGCACGGTGAGGGGAAGCATCACATTCACATACACTACATACACAAATGCACCATGTAACCCTGAGTGTGTGTATTGCAGCTATAAATGGTTTTCTGTATGGTAACCTGCCTGGACTGAGCATGTGCCAAGGCAACAAGATCCACTGGCATTTGTTTGCCTTAGGGAATGAGGTAATTACTGTGTTACTATCATATTACTATTATCCAGAGGTCAGTTTTCACATTCCATAGCTGAAAGGCTACTGCAGTCTCTTCCTGTAACAATCTTCAATCATTTGAGTTTGAAATGTCACAAAGACACTTGGCTCTTCCTCTACTATTACTTCTTACATATAGAGACAGTTTGCTGAAAAACACATTTGTGAACATGTTACTTGGTAGAAAAACAAATATGTGTTACCAAATGAACTGACATTTGCCTATGTCATATTCTGCTGTTAGGAGCCAGTTTAAATGTTATTTATCCACAACAACAGGTGGACCTACATTCAGTGCATTTCCATGGCCAGATCCTGACTGTTCAGGACCATCATACAGACACAGTCAGTCTTTTCCCGGGCTCCAGCATTTTAGCTGAAATGGTAGCCGATAACCCGGGGAACTGGCTGCTAACGTGTACTGTCAATGATCATCTGACTGGTGAGCTCACAATCTCCATTCTTAAATCAGAGGCTGATCATTTCGTTAAATTTGATTCAAGTAAGAGGTCATCAACTGTGTGGTAAATAGTTAATTTGCCAAGTATCGCATAGCAATGTGAGTTTCTGCTGTGTGGTTTTCTCCAGCGGGAATGCAAGCTATTTTTGAGATCAAGAAGTGTTTCCCTAATGTCCATAAGCCACGGCCACATGGCGAGCTCAGAGAGTTCTTCATTGCTGCTGAAGAGGAAGTTTGGGACTACGCTCCCACACTACCTACTGAGGGGTTGGTTCCTCCACACACAGGACTGACACTACAGCTGATGCTAATGTTTCTGTAAAGAATAAAATGGCATTTGTGTCATTTCTAAATTGTGCACAGTGAGGCAGAGGTGTTTGTAACCAGAGGTCAAGACCGTATTGGAAGTCGCTATAAGAAGGTTCGCTATGTGGAGTACACCGACAACACCTTCACAACAAGGATGCTACGCACCCAACAGGAGCAACACCTTGGAATTCTGGGTAATCTAGGCTGGGTTGGTGGCATTATTTTAATTGTGGTAAAATTTATCAGAGTCAGTGCTGCTCTGGAGGCAAAAATAAAGTTACTGGCCTAATTCATTAGTTTATCTTTTTAAGTAAAGTAGATAGACATTGACAAAAACATATATTAGTACAGCTTAGTGTTCTTATAATAAATAAATTAGAGTATAATCTAATCAAATTAGCTAGGAGGTTAGTTTGTCTTGCTCACCTTCCAAGTTAAACCTAGTCATACAACTGGATTAGAACAATTGGTTATTGTCGTTATGCTTCCACGGTGGCGATAGCCATGGCCAGAGGTATTATGCTTTTGCCCGTCTATCATCTAAGTCATCTAATCTGAACATTTACTGTCACTGTTTTTATGGAAATGGTGAATAAAAATAAGGCATTAATGAGCCAAGTCTTTAATTCTTATTTTGGACAGACTGCCTCCTCTGCTTTAACAGTCAGTATGTTTAAGCTAAGAAACCACTGCATGACAAGAATAGGTACAGACATATTCCAAATACTGCTTTCAACACGAATGTCTGAAATATGTTTGGAGCATACCTGTAACTTGTCTTTATTGGAACTGTTGGGTATCTTCATTGGCACTTTCTTCTCACTTTCTACCCCCTGATTTTCATTTGTGTGATCTGTTCCAATTACAAGATGGAAATATGAGCGGTCCCCCAACATGTCCTCCAGAGGGCCTCTGTCCTAAATGAACACACGAACCAACTTGCATGCCTGTGTCCATCCATATCTTTAGGTCCTGTGATGCGAGCTGAAGAGAAGGACACCATCAAAGTCGTGTTTAAGAATAAAGCCAGCCGGCCTTACTCCATACAACCACATGGTGTCCAGTACAGCATAGAACAAGATGGGACACTTTATCACAATGAACTGGAAGGTTAGTACACACACAAACACACACACTATTATCAATATAAAGAGCTTCCTTGTCTGTTTTCTTGTCTCTCTCATCAAATCCTTCTCTCTTTAGAGTCCTATACAGCGAAGAAACTACGAGAGCTAAACAGGCAACCAAGTGAGATAAAGACGTGAATTACAGTACCAATTTGAGTTAGCATAATAATAGTTCTTTTTATGAAAATCTATGTTTTTAGGAGTGGTGACTCCTCCCCCAGCTGCTCTGGTCAGACCCGGGGCTGTGCATATCTATGAGTGGATGGTACCTGTCGGTGCTGGTCCAGTAGAGGGAGAGGCTGACTGTCTGACTTATCTGTACTACTCTGGAGTGGACCCTGTCAAAGACACCAGCTCCGGACTGGTCGGCCCGCTCCTCATCTGTAAACAGGGATCACTGAAAAAAGGAGTACAGGTGAGGAGAGAGCCAGAAACTGAAGGGTAAAGGTTCCTCAAATCAGGATTTTATGCCTTTGTATCAGCCATAGCCATGGCTGGAGACATGTCTTCAGGTTGTCCATCCACACATCCATCCGTCCCATTCTTGTGAACACAATATATCATAACAGAGCTCTATATAGTTTTCATGCCTCTGTGCCAGCAATAGCCATGGCCAGAGGCATTATGTTTCCTGGCTGTCCATCTGTCCATCTGTCCGTCCAGCCCAGGTGTTGGACTATACAATTATTGTTATTGCTCCTTTAAAGCAAGCAAAATCTAATGTGATAGATGCATGTATGTTGAAAACATACAGTATCAAGACAAATGGCTGAATGGGGGAACAGGAGAATTTAAAAAATATAAAATACTTAAAACTGCCTTTATTGAAGCTGAGGACTCAAATAAAAGAAGTGGTCGTGCTTGGATAATGTGTTCATAAACAAAAGTTTGAGTCAGGGGACGAACATGACGCTACATGTTGACTTGAGTCAAAGCTTGTCCGATAATAATACTCATTAGCCATGTGGGTAAAGGGCAGGAAATGCAAAAGGTCAGGAACCGATGTCTGCATGAACATCAGGTTTTTGGTCATGTTTTGCGTGAGTGACTTGTTCAGGCTGATATTGGTTCCAATTAAGAAAACAATGTAGACAGTTTATTAATGAAAATGTGGTAATGAAATCACAATTTGACATAATTCCTCTTCTCCTGTGTAGAAAAACTATGATAAAGAGTACCACCTCATGGCTACAGTGTTTGATGAAAACCTGAGCTGGTATCTGGATGATAACATTAAGACCTTCACCACTGCTCCCACCACTGTTAACAAAGAGGATGAGGGCTTCATTGAGAGCAACAAGATGCACGGTTTGTAAGAGACACAATCGCACGATTATCACTCACAGCTCAGATTAGAATCTGTTGTTGGACACTCAGTGATAAAGATGTGAATTCTGATTTAGTTATGTATTTAATCTGTCTCTACACACTCAAAGTGGGAGAACGGTTTAATTTCTGCTTTCATTTTTCACCACTCTCCTCGAATGTCCAGTATTTCCATTTTTTTCCTTAAATCACATCTGAGTTTTTTGACCAAATTGACATAGTCATTGTACTGTATATTTTGTTCTGTGTCTCCCTTCTAGCCATCAATGGGTTTTTGTATAGAAACCTCCCAGGCCTGGACATGTGTAAAGGGGATAAAGTCACATGGCACCTGTCAGGACTGGGTTCAGAGGCGGACATCGACAGTCTTTACTTTCAGGGCAACCGCTTCCTCTATCGCCAGAACAGACGAGATTCTATCAGCGTTTTTCCTCATGTTTCACACACTGTCACTATGGAGCCAGACAGCATGGGTACATCTTTCAACATCTTTCACTTGAGATCACATTCACACAGACTACTGTTGTTCTGTATTTCTGTGAACCCTCAGTGCCAATGAAAAAAAGACTTAAACAAAACCTGTTGCTCAGACAAACTAGACATCTTCCCAAACCTTTAAAAATTTAAAGGCTTAAGTTTCTTTTTTGTTTGTTTGTTTAGTTTTTTTTTTTTAAATACGGCATATATTTTCGAAAGAAAACCAAAGAATCCCACACAATGTCCAACAAAGTCCTCGGACCTTCATTAAACAAAATTCGTGCAAACATCAAAATGTACAGTATACCGTACATGTATTACACGTTATATAATGAGTTTTAGACCGCCCTGTCATAAACATCTACAGCATCAATCCTTTCAGTAAATGCCCTATAACACATTTGTACTTTCAAATGATAAAAGCAACTAGTAGGAAGAGAAATTAGGACACTGATTTAGCAAAGGATGCAAAAATGATGTTCCACCACTGTCCCTAACCGTAAAACACTGACCATCATAACAAAAACATTTAACCAGAAACCCAATCCTTGAAACTGTCATTCAAATGAATGAAAACCAGCCATATCGTCACTTGCAATGTTTGAAACTCCTCACAAACATGCTACAAGAGCACAATGAGATAATCCTGCACACACCTTCAAACCTGTTTGACGATGCCTCCAGTAATGACAATACATGACGATGAGTAAACTGTAAAAACAGTTCAGCAGTCAAATTTTTTAAATAAAGCATATTTTATGTTGTGTTACAAGAAATGCAGACACCACCTTCAGGCATCTCATTTGTATCATGAATTGTGTATGAAGAAGGCATGACAATAACCTAATACAAACTGCAACAGTAGCTAAATAGATCCAGATTTGAGAAGCAGGTTTAGTTACTGGGCAGCCGTTATAAGCTTCCTTATCACACAATAACTGAAAGTAGACTGTATAGAAGAAGAAAGTGATCCATCTACGGTTAACAGGTACGCTTGTGTTTCAGGTCAGTTTGAAGTGGTGTCTCCAACAGTGAACCACTATCGAGGTGGGATGAGAGCCAACTACACAGTACACAAATGCAGCCTATTTCAGCGTCAGGGTGAGCTGATGTTCCATTCAAAAACCTACTACATCGCTGCCATGGAAACAGACTGGGACTACTCTCCAAACCGCACCTGGGAGACTGAGCTGTACCGCAACCAAGTCAAGTACAGTAGCACTTGTGCAGTTACAGTGAACACTACAGAGTTAGGCTGAGCTCTAAGCCTGTTTCTCTCTCTGCAGTCCTGCTCATACCTACCTGGACCAGCAGGGTGGATTCATAGGCTCTCGTTACAAGAAGGTGGTCTACCGCCAATTCACTAATGACAAGTTCACCAAACAAGTGGAAAGAACTGCTGATATGGAACACCTTGGCATCATGGGTAAGTACTGGAATTCATATTAATCTAAAATAACCACCTTACTGTAACAAAACAGCAGAATTTTTACAGTAAATGCAAATTACACTATGGTATATATGAAACATTATGCAGTTATTGTTAAGCTTGATCAATATAGTAAATTGGAACATCTCCTCCATTCAGGGCCAATGATTCATGCTGATGTGGGGGACAAAGTGAAGGTGGTTTTTAAGAACATGGCATCCAGACCTTATTCTATTCATGCCCATGGAGTCAAGACAGAGACCCCTGATGTTTACCACACCAAACCAGGTACAGGATCACCTAGAAACATGGGAAGTGAACAGAAAATCCCAGGTTGCTTGGTTCTCCTATTTACTACTTTGGCAAAGAGACAAAATCAAAAGGCATTTTGGGTCACAAACTGTTTTTTCAGTGTCTTACAAAGTTGGGACCTTTCTAAGTTAAAGAGGGACAGTAAATTATAGGCACCATTTCCACAATTTTGGTGAATGCTGGCTTAATTTGAAGCAGGGAAAACGTTATTTTGCATTATAACTTTGACTGTATTTTGCTGTAGTTTGTTGCCTATGCATTAGTTGGTCCAAGTATTTCTGTAGTTTCATTGGGCTTAGTAGTAGTAATTCACTTTTCTTAGTATGGGAATTATATCATGACACAACAACAACTTTGTTTTGCACAGGTGAAACACATACCTACGAATGGTATGTCACAAAGAATACAGGACCAACCCCAGAACAAGAGCAGTGCTCCGTGTCAGCATACTATTCCACTGTCGATGTTGTCAAGGTGTGCACAGTTGTGTCTTACTATAGATTTTAGGACACTCATTGCCATAATGCATTCCTTGGGCCTTTACCATAACCTTAACAACCACAAATACATATCTACAACCTAACCCTATCCTAATTCTAACCTGAACTCTAAAGCCAAGTCCACACAGTGCAATAAATACAAACACACACACACACACACACACACACACACACACACACTGATGTGTCGTCTCCCTGCCTACCAGGACCTGTACAGTGGTTTGATTGGTCCATTGGTGATCTGTCGGCGTAGCTGGGCCAGGTGAGTGTGTTTACACTATGCAGTGATACAGAACTTCCAGTTAATATGTTTTCTCCAGTACACTGTGTGTGTTTGTGATTTCCAGATCTGACAAAATATAGGGGTAATAATGTGCTTTTGTACTGCATTACACAATAAGTTTAATCAAGCGTTAATGTACAGTTTCTTAAACCTGCTTTCAGGACTTTTGGATTGAAGAAGGAAGCAGAAGAGTTTGCACTGCTTTTCTTGGTTTTCGATGAGAATGAAAGCTGGTAAGTAAAGAGAACTACAAAACCAACCATTTACCTACCAACTAACTGCTTATAAAAAATGAAAACATCTTTGCTTCATAGTAACCAGCCATACAAATGCTGAGGTTCCGAGATAGCCTGTCTTCCAGAAACAATGTCACCATTAAGTAGAATAATCCACAGGCCTCAACAGTACCTTATGCAGTATTATTACTGTCAATATTATTCCAGGTATTTGGATGAAAACATAAAGACCCACATCAGGAACCCTCGCACAAATTTGAAGGAGGAAGAAGCCTTTATAGAGAGCAACAAAATGCACGGTAAAATAAACATACACATAAAACTAGACAGCACTTAGAGAGTGCAAACCTGTGCCCAGGCAGCTCAGTTTCCTTATAATGATACAGTACTACACTTATGACAGTTTGACTCTGATAATATGATTTCCTGACCATCAAGACCTACACCTGGCATTTGGAATCATATTGATAAACTGCCCCATTTTCACAGATGAGATTTTTTTATGCTTCATCTAGACATCAAAATAAATGTGTTTTTCTGTGTGTTTGTATGCAGCCATTAATGGTTATATGTATAGCAATTTGAATGGGCTGAACATGGATGTGGGTGATAAGGTGTACTGGTACTTGATGGGAATGGGCAATGAAATTGACATACACACCGCACACTGGCATGGACACAATGTGGAATATAAGGTACAGTATAGTATAAAAAACACAAATATGTACAAGACAACACAATATACAAACATACTGCAGTACACAAAATATAACTCCTACAATAATCCTTGTTTCTCTCCAGCTGGGTGGAGGGCCACACCGTACTGATGTATTTGAGCTGTTTCCAGCTACCTTCCAGGTAAAACCTCAAACTATTGGAACTGTGTTTATGTATAAAGTCTTAAGTCTTTGTCTTTTGCAACATTAAAAGTGCAATATCTTTAAATAGGTCGGAAAAAAAATCTCAAAGTGAAGCAATAGGGAACACAAAATCATTTCTAATTTATAACTGAACAATGTTGTGTTATCTTCTTCCTGTTTAGACAGTAAAGATGCATCCTCTGTATGCTGGTACCTGGCTGCTTCACTGTCATGTCCTTGAACACATTAGAGATGGCATGGAGGCGCTCTATACGGTCACTGAAAAACGTAAGAAACTCAGGAAACAAATGTGACAAGGAGACAAATTCTAACTAGGAGAAAGATGACAATGGTATCAATGACAATGCTGTGTGGGTAATTAAATGTCATTTCCTCTTCAACAGCTGCAAGGCCTGGACTCTTTGGCTGAAATGCAAAGACTGAAGAAAACAGCAAACAGACCAATTAAAAGTTCATTTTAGCAGCTAATTCTCTCTCTGTAAGTCAGCCTAATATGAAAAGTTACAGGGTAGAAAAATACCTTCATTCAAGAGTCATTTTATATTAAAGTGTGCATTTTTATAATTGTAAAACAATTGTGTGCTGACCTCTTTATATATTTAAATGAAATGTAACAAAGAGGGTAATACCTGAAAGTTGAATTTCAATGTTTTATGTGATTTTTCTGTGTGGACTGTAATGACAATAATCAGGCAGCAGGGGGTACTATAGCCTGATGGTACATGGTTGGGGCACCTTGAGTGGATTTGTTGGTTGAATTTTGAAGAATCAGAAAACATTTGTCACAGCTGTGAACACCGTAGTGTGAAGGAAATGTTTGAAGACTTAATGGACACTTGTAATCTTACAGTCAGGTTGCAGTAATGTATGATAAACTTTGCATTCCACCAAAACCTTTCCCTGTGACATGTGGCAAAGCTGATTCTACACAAACATATTACTAATAGATTTACATTTAATCACATTGTCACACAGCAAACATGGGGCTATATAATAACCCATCATGGGAATATGGTACCTGGATCACAAACAAAAAAAAAGTCAAATTTGGTCAGAATGTGCCACCATGTTGTTACCCAAATCAATAGGATGCACAGGTCTAGCTGTTGAATTTTGCCCTTCAGACCCCTGAACAGGTTAAAACCTCACTGTCTAGAGGGAACTTTATAGGAGTCGGTTCCACTTGGAGCAGTAAGTCTGCAAGTATTGCTGAGAAAGTGACTTCAATCACTTGTCCCATTTGTCTGAAGGTTGTCATATAATCTACAGTTATTCCAAGGAAAGTGCTCAGCAATGCACTTTCATATTCTGTAATTAATTCCATATACAGAAGCAACAATCAGTCTCTTCAGTTTCCTAAACTCAGGTAAAAGCCTTAAACGTATTTCAAAAATATGCAAGACTATGAGGAGCCACTTTATTCTGATTTTTCCCTTTTTATTGTGCAAAGATATCTGAGATGGTCAAGATTACCCATCATCCCCAAACACACACACAACCAACCCATATCCAAAACCTGCAAGCACACACAAAGTCTCTCTATATCACTCCTGCACGTTGTACTGAGTGCAGATTAGTGTCTAAGCAGCCACCTGCAGTCCTCCATTAGTTGGCAAGGAAATAGAATTTAAAAGATTCAGACCATGAAATGTGTCCAATAATGCCAACTCTGATCTAAACCTGCACAGAATCTCAATGATGTGCTTACAGCTCTGTCACATTCAACTAGTGAGGCTTTATATGACACTCACCCTCACTCCAAACTGTGATAGCTTTGCCTTATACCAAAATGGTGTTCATCAGTTCTTAGTTGCTGTTGAAGCCATTAGAACAAGACACAGCTGTGTGACTGACTTCTACGCAACACAACACAAGTGTAAATGCCATGCTAGCAGCGTGTGAGGCTGAGGTGCTCGTTACACACAAGAAAACTGAACTGTTGTAAGAATGGCAAATGAACAATTTTGTTTGCTTAGACCACAAACAGAAAAACAGTCAAGTTTGGTTGGAGTGTGCCACCAGAGAGACCACCATGTTGTTACCTAGATCAATAGGATTTATTGTACTGTGGCCATTTTTAAGACATTTCAGATTCAGCCTCAGTGTTGGGTACTAATCTAAAACAGTCAAATCAACTAGGTGCTTGATGTACAAAAACACCCAGAGGAGCCTACAGAAACACCTTGGAAAAGCAAAACACAGCAAATGAAAAACTACACCCCTTTTTAAAAAGAACGGCCATGTTCCATACGATTGACGTAACAGATCACGTGTTTTATCTGTTTTTGCTTGATGTATTTCTTTGTTGTAGTGGAGTTCTGGTTGGAACTAATGAGCTTTCATTATTCTGGCGAATTCTGTGGAGTGCTTAATGCACGCAGCTCCAAAAAGTAGTCTTGAAGCTAAAAACGGGTTTCAGTTGCCAGCCAACGTGCCAGCAGTGTAGATAGGTGGGTTGATTAATATACTGTAGCAGCTTATCAGGTATGTGATGTGTGTGTCTCAAAAGCGGGACCGAGTCTATTCTGGCCAAAACCAATCTTGTGAAATATACCTGGATCGGCACCAATACTGGTACTTAGTATCAGATCTGGACATCTCAAGACCCAACAGTTATTAGTTCATGAATAAGAACAAAAGTCCAGAAAATGGGTTGACAGCTGGGCTTTGTGTAGTACTTGTATCATAACTTTCACAAAACCTTTCCTAGTTGAAACAGTGTTTTTATTAAAACAACAGTTTTAAATACCCACTGGTCTAAACCAGCTACATATTAAATAGGTGTGACAAGACAAGTGAAGCAGTAAAATCATTGTTTTTATATTCATGTAACCCTTCATTTACCTGTGCTATAATTAGGGACATTATTATTAGAGTTAGGTTTTTAGGGTTTATAGTACAAACAAAAAGAAAAAGAAGACAAGGCCTCTTCCTCCCCTTTAATCTCACTTGGTAATGTCCAGGTTGCCAACATCTGCAGTGCATTGAGAATTCATGTGCTTTAAAAAATTTTTGAAAGCAAGGCAAACAATTTTGCCCAGAATCAGATACTATAATGAAACTGACCTAAATTCATTAATCAACAATAGATCCAAACTTTAGTAGGTAATACATACAACAATTTTTTTGTTTAAAGGGCCTGTCACATGGATCGATGAGCAGAAATATTCCACCTAAAACCTTCTGAGCACCAACCAAAAAGTGTGTAATCTTAGTTATTTTACCTTCAGTTCGGACTGAATTGGTGGACATGTGCACCCTCAACTATTAACAACTTGTTTGTACATTTATGGTGGATTTGAAGGTGTGTGATTTGTTCTCTAGAGGGCTCATTATATGCATGTTATGGAACAGTACAATGCACATCATCTGTACATCTGTTTTTGAGCGTGTGCATTTCACAGAGGTGTCTCCTTTACTGTATATCAGGGTGTTCTCAAATGTAGGCTGCCCCATATCCAGGCCTTAAAACAGCCCTGTCAGTATGCTGCAGAAACACATTTTTGTGCTGGCTCTGCCTGGACAGAAGGCCTATTAGGACCGATCAGCTTCGACATCAGCATGTTGGAAGCAGATGGCTGGTGGTGCCTGCAGTCATATCTCTCTCCCACACCAGACTCTTTGGGTAGATTTGACACAAGCTTAATTAATGATCTGATAACTGCAGAGGCGTTAAAAGGTGGATGGAGACAGGCATGAATTCCAAACGGAACAGCTAAACTGGCTAGTAATATAATATAAAGGGATTTCTTACCACATGCTCTCCCTTTCTCACTTTATCTTCCACATTTTACTTAAATCAGTCCAGTGTGAACTCTAAATCATGCTGTGAGTAAGAAATAAGTTGCAGATCTAAAAACTAAACGAAGGAAATGTTTACTGAAGTCGGTGCTTTGAACCCTCAGGGAGCAGTGGGTTGTTCTTAAATCTTGATGGAGTCAGCCCTCTGTAAAATATGCAAGTCCATATGAATACAGCTAGGCTGATAAATCTCAGTACGATTGAGTTTGTTAGTCCCAAACACCATGAATGGTTAATGAACAAGCCTTTTGAGCACTGGACTACGAGGTTAGGGAGACACAAAACCACTACCAAGAGATGTAGCAAGACTGCAGAGTGACACTAAAGGACGACAAAGAGACAAACAGCCACAAAGGGACATACAGTGACAACAGAAAATTGCAATACAATCACAAACACACACAAAACAATTGCAAAAAGTAAAACAACCACAAAGAGACCCAAAACGAACAGAACGAGAAGCATTTAAATCACAGACACTAAACAACCACAAAGACAGAATGACCACAAAAAAAAGCATAAAATCGCAAAAAAATGAAAAACTAGACAATCACAAAAAGATACAAAATGACCACACATAAAACTACGGATCTGAATAAACTTAAGGGCACCATTAAATGCACTTCTGCACTTGCACCATTTCTATGGAAACAGAGTGGGTCTGGTATCAGGGGACTGCATGTGCAATCTCTGTGGCTCTGATGCTGAATAAATAAAGCCTATGAAACACACCACATTATTACATTGCTCTCCCATGAGAAGTAAAAACACCCAACAGCCCCCTGTCAGCAAATGAAAATACCCTCAGGCCAGGTATGAGTCTGGTTATTCCACCACTAAAGCCACACACCTACATTCAGCAGTAAAATTCCTCCACTCTTCAAAAGCATAACCACCGTAATCCCAGATGTATCCATCTGGAAGCTGGAGACTTTGGCCTGAGTCCATCCTTCCACTCAGCCATTCCTCTGTCTGTGTGCTGCTCTGGCTGGCAGTTTGCACAAGAGCCATCTGTTGACAGGCAAAAAGCAAGATCTTCTTTTCACTTTATGAATTAGAAACTCCCCTTCTTTTGGCAGGAGGTTTGTCATTAAATAGGTATGAAAGCACCTAAATTCACATATAGAGCTCAGCTGCTTTTGAACAATATGTACAGCAACAAACATCTGAATAATCAGATCACTTTTATTCTTCTGCATCAGCGATAGCTGTGGCCAGAGGCATTTTCTTTTCAGGTTGTTCGTCCGTCCATCCCATTCTCGTGAACGCAATCTCTGGCACGCCTTAAGAGAATTTTGTCAAATTTGGCACAAAGATCCACTCAGACAAAAGAATGAACTGATTAGATTTTGGTGGTCAGAGGTCAAGATTGCTGTATCTTCACATCTGTCCCATTCCTATGAATCTGACTGTCTGGAGGAGGCATACAAGTCCAAATCGTTTGTTTGTTTCACAAATATTGAGTAAAGCTGTCTTTCTCTTAGGATTAATTCTTCTTATCCAGAGTTACAGTAACACTGACTAAAAAGTAAAAGGCCAAGGAACTGCCTGGGGACCTTTAAGTCCAGGTGGAATTTCAAAGCTTGTTCTTTTGTTTAGTGCCAGCTGAGCATCCTGTCTGAAATAAGACAGTTTGAATGGAGTTCAGGCAAGGACATTTATGAGCTCTGTCATTTCTATTCTCTGTAGTCAAATCTCCTGGTGACAAAAAAAAACCTTGTGTGTTGTTGGAACTGAATGACCTTGGTTTTTTTTTTTTTATTTGTC